TGATGTCACCTCCTGTCATCTCCTCAGAGCTGTGCGTTTTTCAGTCCTCCTCTGTCGGGCTCCCACGCGTGCCATCTGAAACCAGCAGGGAGCACAATCCCCCTGCAGAGGCTGCCGCTGCCCTGCCTGTCCTTGGGAAAAGATGGTAGTACAGGACGGTCATTAAAAGGTGATGCCACTCTTCGGACGTCTGCCATGTTTAAAGATGCAGCAGAGCAATTTCCAGTACGAACACAGGGAAGAAAAAGGGTTGGCAAAGTGCTTGTAATCAGAAATGATCAGATATTTTCCTGAACAGATGGCATTTTTTGCCTTATTGGAGACATCATTCATCATCACTTACACCCCAGTCTCACCACTGCACTGCAGCATCATCCACTGGTGTTATTCAAAAGGGCCACTACAGCTACTGTCAAAAGAAAATGAAGTATTGGTCCGCAGACGTTTATGCACGCACGTAAAAAGTGAACTGACTTGGTTTACTTGTATGTATAAACATATTTCAGTTCAGCTCAGAGGGCATCACACTATGATTTTTCTAATGCATATGCAGTAGCAGATTGCAAGTGTTGCCATGGTGATTAGTCCAAATGATGCTTACATTTTTATTTTCATTCAATGCTTCAGTATCCGCCCCCCTGCGGGCCAGGGAAGACGTTACAGTGAGCCCACAAAGGGTCTGTGGTAAAATAGATTTACCTCGGTGTAATAAAGCTTTCAGCTGAATTATTTAGAGACTTTAATTTGTCTAGCTAACATTTATTTACCAGATGACAACTGACGAAGAACGATTGGTGTTTTTGCTGCAGCGCTTTGCTTCCCAAGACTTATTCAGATTTAACCCAGAAAGCTGCTGCTAATGGAAGCTTAGCGATGCATTTGAGGCTGGATTTTGTACAAAATCTCTCGTGTATGCCTTGTCAGCAATATATTTAAGTGAAAAACTGTGAAGAGAACAGCGCATTGTTTTCCCTCAGTGGATTTTAACAAATGGCCATCTAAATATATTTTACTCTGCACGCTAAAGCTATTAGCGTAGAGTGAATAATGCCTTCAGGTAATACTGGTACCATACATCTTTATGTATGTTTTATTAGTTTATCTTCCAGGCATAGGGATGTGCCTGACATAAGTAGGACACTATCTGCAGTCTCTGGCTGAGTATTATATTACACTCTGGTTTCATACCTAATAGGGGTGCTTTGATCAGGAGTTTTAGGGCCAATACTGATCACTGATTTAATGTAATTAGAATTGGCCCCTCTTACACACAAGCAAAACTGGAATATTTTGTTGTTGCCACTGATGCCATCAGCTTCTGACCTTTTAATCACACCCACTCACTTCTTGAGTCCCAAAATCTTTTAGTTTTAAAGTTGCCATCCTTGATCAGGGTCCATGGAGCAAGAAATTAAAGCTACAACGGATACTAATTCAATAGATTAAACTTTCAATGTATAAACCTCTGATACACAGTAGCCATTTTCCATTTGAGATTTCAGGCACTAGGACTAGGCCTGCTCAACTGACTGCATCAAGAGTCCTGCAGGGGTTAATAGCACGGCCTGGAGACCATGTGGGCCTATACAGGAGTGGAAACTGCCTCGGGTGTCGGATGCCTCTGTGGTGGGGATCACGTTGGTTATCTGAATTTCTTATCTGCAATGCTAAAATGAAAAGCAAATGAGCTGAATTTGATTCATCAAAACATCCCAAATATCAGTTATCAATCCTAGTTACTAATATTCTTGGACTAGGAAAGGAAACTGTACAGCACAGTGACATTTGAAAATTCACCAACCTCTTGTGGAAAAGCCTTCATGAATGAAGACTTTTGGAAAAGACAGATTCCCCAGCCATAGCTGAACTGTACCAGCGGTTGAAGATAATTTAATGTCCTTGTCTGGCTCAACAAAGGCTAGTTAGCCTGTTTCTGGTCAGTCAGCACATGAAAAGAGCTTCTGTAATGAGCGCCGGATCCCATGGGTGAGACACAATTTAGTTTTGTCTGGGATCCAGGCTGAAAAAGGTTTAAGAGCATATAATTCAGAGAGTCAATATGACTATTATGAGTGTTTCTTCTGTCCACTGGCTAGCTGAACGCTAGAGGATACTCCCGGCTTTCTTTGACCATAATTGTAAAAGGAAAACGCGCTCCCCCCCCCACCACCACCACCACCACTCTCCACCCCCTTCTTTTTTCAATCAAATGTCTGAGCCTCAAGAGTGAGCATGAACACCCGCGCACATACTCTCAATCTAGCACTCACTCCTAAGGGGTCTGAGCAAGCCATATGCTGCAGTTCCTCCATCAAATTCCTGTTTTTCATTGAGGGACCGTTTCTATTGAGCACTTACATACTTGTGGAGAAGCTCAGGGGAGAAGCAGACTAACTGCTGTGTATCAGCACAGTCTCTGTCTGAAAGCCAGGGGCTAGATGCAGAATTTGTACAATAGCGGCACTCAATCTACCAGGCCAGTCTAATTATAGACAATGCTGTAGTTAGATTGTTCCTCTTAAAGTCTCTGTGGCTGAGAACAACTTGAGAAATGGAAGGCTGGCAGAACGCTGAAGATGAATGAAAAGGTAGAGTGTTGGGAAGAAAGGACAAATCGAACCACTGGAGAGTTTCCTCCGGGTGAGTTTTGTTCTTAATTTCTCTTAAGGTTTCTAAAAAAAAAAAACGTCAATAAAACCTTGTTTCTACCCTTCTGTTATTTGAGACTGCAGTCGTGTGGAAGAGTGAAGTTTGTGCCAGTTTCCCAACAATCTGCCCATTAACAGCAGATTACTGCATTTCTCTGATTCCTAGTCTCCTGTAGATCTGAGCTGACATGGACTGACTTCTCCCCCCTCCACAATATGGGCCTTTCGGTCAGATACAGTGTAAACCTCTCTGGAATAGAGTCTCAAGACCCTAACTGTAAATAGCTTGAATGCTGAGCTTCATCTAGTATCCCACTGTTTGTGAAAGTGCACCATTATTTTCTGTTTTTTATATTCCACAGTGCGTTTGGCGTCCCATTTACCTTGGGTCATTAAACCTCTGGGTCTGAATTGTTTCAGGCGCTTGAACCTCCGGGACACTGGCCTGTCTAGTTTTCTTTACTCTATTTAGATTCTGAGCTCCAAGTATTAGACACTGTGGTAAGAGGCCACATGCAGATACAAACATCCAATTACCATTGACCATTCTCAACTTTACACGTCTCTGTCGTTGTCACATCGGTGTAGTTCCAGCTGGCAGCGGCTTGCTTGCTGCGGCACTAATGCTGCCAGGATTTTCAGGGCACCTCTGTATGTCTTCTCTTTTCATGCCTGCTATAACTTCAGCCTTGCAGTTTGCTGATAGAAGTTATTCTGCAGTTTTTCATGTTAATATTATTTCATCAGTTTATCTCTGGGGTATTGCAACTTTGAAGTATTTTCCATGCTGTGACTGTGTGTTGACACCGTCACAACTTCCAACCTTTGCTCATAGCTGGGAATTTGAAGTTTCTTTTGTTGTGTCTTTTCAGTTGTGCTACTTTTAAATTCTGTTAAATGCTTTAAGTTGAAGCTTGTTTGATGGAAACTTTTCCCCAACCTCCTCACAGAGCACAGTGTTTGTACTTTTCATACTTTTCACTGCTGCTTGTCTGGTACAGCTACAGTAACCTGGCCAGCCACCTGGGTTTATTATGTTGAAACCCAGGTGTGTCAATAAAGATTCAAATTAAAAGACTAAAACACTTCTTCTTCTTCTAGGAAATCTAAAATATATTGTGTCCTTTTGTCCTTTTAATTCAATATTCAAAAATGGTTAAATTTCACAAAATTATGAACGTAAGCGTATGGTGTGATTTGTAGCAAATTGAAGACATGTGTATCTACGTTTTTCAAACATTCCTAGTGCTGCACATTAAATAGGGTACACTCCAGGCCTTGGCCATGCCCTTGTTCACATGCTCTGCAATTTAGCCTGTAAGATGACCGCGTTTGAGTTTCTTACTTGACGGCTGAATGCAAGCTGAACTTGTGGGCTGCATTTGGTTACCTAAATCATCATCATAAGCAAGTTACAGAGATGCAACGGGAACATTCACGCTTTAGGAAATGGGCCTTTTGATTCTCATGAAAACTGAAAAACCAAATCTCTCCATGTCGACATATGAAAATAAATATTTCAATTGAGTCGTATTTTCAATTCTCTGCTTCTAGTTGGGCCACTAAAAAAAGTGTTATTTATGTTTAGGGGGTCACTTTCACACCTGTTTGGTCAGTTCACTCGGTTCTGGTCCATTTCCTGTTCTCACTGACTATAACAAATGACCACAAGGAAATACAGGGGTCATTTTTTCATATTCTGGTGACTATCGTGAAGCCGTGCAGAACTTTGTTTATCTTCTCGGGTGACACAAAGAGCTCACCAAGTAATATTGATTATTTGCACTGTTAGTCGAGACTGCAGCTGGAACTCCTATGACATGGGGGAGGATGAAGAGAGGTGTCTGGTACCGTAATATCATGTGGGGTTGGGTGGAGGGTTATGTATTCTCTGGATACAACTGCTTTTATCAAGTAGTCACTTTCTGAAGTGTCTGGGGAAAATCCCAGCCCTTACTTGCATGCGACACCAAATGACCTTGAGTAATATGGATCGCTAATATAGATGCTTAAGAAATTGATTTATTTGTGCTTTTAAATGAATCCTAAAATCACACATTCCCCCTCGTAAATTCCTGCGTTTGGTTTTGCTTGCACAAAACGAACCGGACTGAAGCCCTCCTTTCCAAGCGCTCTTGTGTTTCTGTTGTTTGGAGCCCACCAAAAAGTTAGTTGTGAAGACACCTAAAATGTACTCAAAGTGTGCAGCTTATCCAAACACATCCAGGAGTGCCAGACCTGAGCTTCCTCACCTCAGTGAGACACTGTTGTCCTCTGTAACTGCTCTTGCTGGTTTTGGTAGCGGGCCCAGTCTGACGGCCCCCTTTCTCTGCTTCTGTCTCAATGTTGCAGGTTCAACTACAGGTCGACTCACCATCTCACCACCAATGGCTTCTATGAGTTCCTCAACTGGTTTGACGAAAGAGCCTGGTACCCTCTGGGTAGGATAGTCGGGGGCACGGTGAGTGTTTCTTCAAGTATACTATGTGTTTGACTCAGGAGGTGGGGATTGTGCGGGAGGCTGTACATCCTTTCTTTGTCCTTATTCCTCAAGAGTCACAGTCCTGTGATAAATCTTCAGTCGTCCTCTTAAACTCACTCTGCACTACAAGTATTACACACTTCTACACAAACACATTCAGTAAGCATGGCTGGGTGGTTAAACGGCTCCTGTGGGAATGAGGGTGTTAGCAGGAAGCACTCACTCATGGACACATGGAGAAGATCTATCTTCATAACAGCTAAAGGACAGACAGACTCGGGTCACTTTTACCCTTCATTACACTACAACTCATCTCTGAATGCTTATCCCCTCCTCCCTATAGTTATACCCCTCTGTGCAATCTCTCTGAACGGGTTGATGAAGGGATGTATGTTGTTTTGACTGTGATACAATTCCTCTTCATTAGGGCTGAATGATTAATTGTTTTTAAATCAAAATTGCAATTTGAAAGAACGCGATTAGCTAATCGTGAAGACGGCGATTTAAAATGTATATGTTAATTACACATCGCGTCTGACCAGTCACGCAGTTGCAAATTATTTCCGTTGTCATCCTTGTGGGACAGATCTGCTCGCAAATCACAAGCGCCATGCGCCTCCTGTCACGGTCCTACTCGCCAATCAGAGCGAGCACAGGGCGAAACAAGAGGAAAACATGTGGGATAAGAGACAGGTGGTGACTGTGCCGCGGTTTTGTCCGGCGTCAACTAACACTGAAGTGTTTCAGCAGAAGAGCGTTTAGTCATTTTTGTGTGCTTCAAATTAGGGGTGTGGAAAATAATAGATTTTTAGATGCATCGCGATGCGGACGATTATGAATCGATTCACAAATGTCAATAAATCGGTTATCTAGAGGTTAATTGATAATGTTATTTTGACGAAACGAAACGTGCGGTACTCTGAAATGCTACTCCGGACCATCAACTCCTCTCCCCATTCTTCAAAGGACAGCTACGTGACAGGCGGCAGTAGGTGACGGTGAAAGCAGCAGAGCAAAGATGAGCGCTACGCTTCAGTCTGGCAGTAAATGCACGGTGTAGGTCACAGCGTGTCCGTTAAAGTCTGTCTGTTGTTTTCCAACTTCTGGAAGAGTTAAGGCAGTTAGCGTTAGCTAGTTCAATTTCGTTTGTTGTCATTCATCCACATATCAAGTACACAATGAACCCAATGCCGTTTCTCAAGGCCCATGGTGCTCAAAACAAGATTACAGTGAAAATCAACTTACAAGACATGACACAAACATGTAACTACACTAGACGAGACAAAAAACAGGAACAGATATATTAAGGTGGAGTGAACGTGGTTTGGCTGGAGCATTGTAAAGTGAGTAGTTCAACCACCGTCTGACTCTATACCAATAACAGCATCAGAAATAAAAATAGCAGCAGCAGAGATCAGTAATAACACTGTAATAATGTAATAATGCTATGCAATGTTAGCTACATTTATATGCAACATTAATTATCTCTAATATTTCATTACTACCTACATGTTTGGATTGCTGTTAAATACTTTGCTTAAAAAGTAGCAGTAGTAGTCACACAGTTAAAAAAATACATCTTTATCCAATTTGTTTTACAGTCGCATCGTAGCACTCGTAATCGTAATGAGGAGCCCTTGAGGTGATGCATCGAGGAATTGAATCGAATCGTTGAGCTGTTAATCATAATTGAATCGTGAGACCAGTGAAGATGCACACCCCTACATCAAATACGGATAACGGCTCCGATTTTGTTCCGCTCTGTGCGCGGCTTCACATACCACATGGAGCATTTCAGAATAAGAGCATTTTGCCTGCCTGATTTTTTTGATTTGGTCAGTTGTCCTTGATTTTTGTGCTTCTATCATGGTAAAGTAGGCTGCTCAGTTAAATAGTTTCTTTTTTTCAGTTTTAACTGTGTATGTTGTTGATATACTATCAGGAGTCTGCACAGACTGTTTTATTTAGAAAATTGACCGGATTCTCTTTGCCATTCTGTGTCTGACTTCCTGCCTGGTTCATCTGCTCTGTGATGCTTGACGCGCCTTCCATCAAAAATAGACTGACAGTGAATATTAAACTTTAGCTTAACTTTTTGTAATCACAAATCAAATCGTAATCGCAATATCTGGCAGAAAAATCGCAATTAGATTTTTCCCCAAAATCGTTCAGCCCTATTCTGCATCATAAGGCATTGAAAGAAATAAAGGACTAAGGCGATTGTACTAGAAGCTATACTATGTAGCGGTTGTTTAACAAGTATAGGTAAGTATCAAAGCCCACAAAGGATACATGTCTTTAGAAACACTACCCCTCAGTGTAGAAATAGCTCCTCTCCTGCTCCTCACCAGCTGGCGTCAGACGCCATACTGACTCTTGTCATAAAAGGGCTTCACGGTGCTGCACTTCTTTGGAAGTGGGTAAATCAGTGCCATTTTACTGGTTGACAGAGTGAAGGGGAGTGAAAAACAATACTTCAGTAATTTTTATTATAACAATTTTAAGCAATCGCCACAAATGTCATTTCATTGTAGTGTTTGTTGAAATATTGTTAAACATTTCTTTGCGTTCACTTATTAATTTATATAGCAGCGATAATTGGTTAACGGGAGAGGAGGGGAGTGGGGGGGGGGGCGTTCAGGAAGTTGTAGCTGACAGAGTTAACAGTAATAACAAAGGAATAATGTTAACTGCAAACAGTGTTCATTTCCATTTCAATTACTGTAGGCTTTGGCTTCTTTAGCTCGGTATACCTCTGTGCTGTCATTCTCAATACAAAGAAAACTCAAATATGCTTTTTTCACATAACTGACCAGTATGTTTTGTTTGTAGGAGCTTGAGTAGCATCAGAAATTTGGTGTTTGAGGTAATGATGCAGCCTGGTCTAAGCACATTCTCTATCCAGTATTCTCTATCCAGTACCTCTGTGCGCTAGCAAAGAGCTTGCAGCAGTGAAAAGATGCGAGTAGCAACACTTTCTTGCTAGCTTGTCAATATTGGCACTCTTCTCATCACATCCTAAAAATATTACATGGGGGAGTCAAAACAAGACATCTTTGTCTGTACAGACTGTATTAATAATAACACACCTTTTTATTTACAGAAAAATGTAATGTTGCCTGTCTGAAGAGAACCTGAATCATTTCTGCCCTCACCTTCCCCTCTGTTTCCCCTTCTTCTCCAGGTGTACCCAGGCCTGATGGTCACGGCGGGCCTCATCCACTATGTGCTCAACCTGCTGCACATCACCGTCCACATCCGGGACGTGTGTGTGTTCCTTGCTCCGGTGTTCAGCGGCCTGACCTCCATCTCCACCTTTCTGCTCACGAGGGAGCTGTGGAACCAGGGAGCGGGGCTGCTTGCGGCCTGCTTCATCGCCATCGTCCCGGGCTACATCTCCCGCTCCGTGGCTGGCTCCTTCGACAATGAAGGCATCGCCATCTTTGCCCTGCAGTTCACCTACTACCTCTGGGTACGTCTGTATTTACTTTATTAGCCCTCCCATAGTCCTGACCCTCCAGTATGCAGCTATTTAACAGTTCTCATTGCTGCCTCAGCTGGCTGAAATCCGACTTAAGGGGGCGTTACCTTTTGAAATTTCTGACTTGTCAAATGGAACGCATCATTCAAGCTGGGGTAGGCAATTTATTTCAGAACTGATCCAGTTGAAATGATTGGCTGGCTTACCTGCCTGTCTGCCTACCTGCTTGCATGCACTCTGCCCGTGCACTCAATGTAAATGAAAATGTGTTTTGGGTGAGTGGCTCTGGAGGGAGGCGGTGGGATTTTTTTGACTGGATACTTTTCAAATCTAGTCTCTTTTGCTGGTTCATTGCTGTCCCAAACTTTAAAGCTGCAATATTCAGTATTTTATATTAACAATGAATTGAATGACTGTGTGATGTGAAGGGTTTCGCTCTTAGTGACAAATCCATAGAAAATTATCACCCAATTCTCCAGGGCCCTAGACTTGAACTGGGTTTTGTTTCACTTCATTATTGAGCCTGACATTGTGTTAGTGTTTGCATGCTCAGGAGGGGTTATTTTTTCCCACTAAACAATTAGTAGCAAATGACAAATCTGTGCCTCCAAAGTCATTTTCAGTTGGCACAGAAGCTGATGTTGTGGCTGCTAGGAGGGGCTAGTTAAGAAATGTGCCTATTTCGAATGATTTCCTGTAGTTGATTTACAACAACCTGTATAGCTGCACTAGTTGGCAATTTTCTGTCACAATTATTCTAACTGAGGCACAAGAAGATCCAAGGTCTCATCTTCTAGTCCCGCCTGCAAAGCTATGATTGGCACAGTTGTTTTTCCAAAAGGGGAAAGCGCTTTTAATAAGCTGAAACAATAAGGGGAACAAATCTGGGAGGTGTACAGAGATTCAGAGACCTAGAACCATGCTAGCTATGTGCCTCAGCTCTACGGCGCATTTAACCTACCTAAGCGTTAGATGATGTTTTGTTTTTTGTGTCTCCAGCCACAACAGGCAGCTGTTTTGTGCAAAGAGCTCTGATAGACGCTACTCACCCAGCATCAAATGGCAGAAAAAGTTAGCGACTAGTTGGTGAACAAAGTTGAGCATTTAGCAGAGCCAGTTGTTTTTCTCAGGAGTGGGGGAGACCAAACCAGCGCTGAAAGAAGAGGGATTATTTGGCTTTTGTCAGGGGAGCAGACCACTATCTTCACATTTATATGCTTTGATAGAAAACCTCCAGTCTCCTGTGAATATGTCCCCTGCCCCTTTCTTTCTCTTGTACTCTCTCCTCTCATTCACTCTACCTACCTCCTTTCATTCCATCAGTTGCCTCCTTTCGTCCACCACATCTCATTGGCTCAGCTCCTCTGTTTATCCAATTTCATCCAGCCAACAGCAGCGTCTCCCACACGCACCTTCGTTAAGTCAGGCCTCATCAGCATTGTTAAGCCCTCGTTAGCAGCTCTCGTGTGCTGTGCAGGGGAAGGTAAAGATGTGTCGGACATGGTGCTCTACTTTGTGCAGGTCATTTAAGAGAGGAAACATGATGAATAATTCAGACAGTCCCGTTGGGTAAGCGGCAACAGAGCAAATCCTCAAGGAAAATATAGTGAATAGAGCAGCTCGGCTTAATGGAAGCATTTGATGTAGATTTGTGTGTGTGTGTGTGTGTGTTGGTTAATACTGTCCTCTGTATACTGCAGGTGAAGTCGGTGAAGACGGGATCCGTCTTCTGGGCCATTGGATGCTGCCTCTCCTATTTCTACATGGTGAGAACACACACAAACATTTGTTTCGTATTTGTGAGGACTTTAATTGACCACATTCAAGGCACAAGGTGCATTTATTGTCATATTACAACAAGGTTCTGAAATGAGATGCAGTTGTATTTGTCTTTTACACAAAAAGTTTACACAGAAATCAACTATTTTGCACGGCACATTAAAGACACTCTCAGCCTAGAGGAAAAAGCTGCTCTGCAGTCTGGTGGTACGACAGCAGATACTTTAGTATCTTCTGCCAGACAGCAGCAGGGTGAACAGGGGTGGGTGCTGTCCTTGGCTTCCTTTTGGGGAGTTTTAATCATCCGCTGCAGAACCTCCGGTCCTAGGGCGTGCACATCCCATGCTAGTTTGTGATGTTTCCAGTCAGGATGCTTTCTATTGCACCTCTGTAAAAGCTGACAAGAACTTGGCGAGGGAATTTGGCCTTCTCAAGGCCGGATCAGACGGAATGCGTTTTTTTGCAGTGAGAGGCGCCTATTTTAAATTGTTTTTGCTCTGAGAAGAAAGGTGCCTGACGTCATTGGCGTTTTTTTCCATTGTCCAATGAAATGAATGGGGAGACGGGCCCTCAGTTGTGGTAACATCAGTTTACAGTTGCTTGGATTGTCCGGAGACTGCAACAAACTGTCCCCATGTCATCCTAAAATAATCCTTGAACCGACCATCATTAAGACGAAGCTACTGGACCAGCTGGTGGTACTATCAGCGGTGTCTCCTCTTCCTGAGGGTCTCATATACCCACACGGATCTCCCTTTTCCTGTCTCCTGCATGTTTGTACACCTCTCACAAAAAAGGCATTGCTGTGCGCCCCTCGTTTTCAGACTTGCAAAGCGTTTCTGTCTGATCGAGGCCTTAAGCTTCCTCAAGAAATACAGTCGTTTCTGAGCTTTATTCACCAGCGTGGAGATGTGAGACGACCATATCAGGTTCTATGTGATGCCGATTCCCAGGAACTTGAAACTGTTCACCTGCTCCACGTCCACACCACTGATGTAGACAGGAGTGTGTGTGTGTGTGTGCGTGTCTTTTATTTTCCTGAAATCAACTATCAGCTCCTTGGTTTTGCTGATGATGAGCTGTAGGTTGTTCGCCGTACACCACTCTCAATTTCCTCTCGACATGAAGTCTCATCGTTTAAAATCCGGTTAATGGTGGTGGTGTCGTCTGCAAACTTCACAACAGAGTTCTCTTCATGTCAAGGGTTGCAGTCGTTGGTGTACATGTCCTACTCTGACACTTAAAACCCAACCATAGTGCGAACGTAAAAATGAAACAAGAAATCTGAGTCATAAACTAGAGGTAGAGCAACATGTAGATCACACACTCGCACTGAAACACAGATCACAGAAGCACTCAAAAATTATCTGCATGCCACTCACAGATTCTCTGCAGATAAGGCTAACAGCAAGTATTCATGGATGTCCACATCACCGAAAGCCATTTTCATCAGACAAAACCAGATCTTTTGAGGGACCTTTTCCCTAACTCATCGATCATTCAGTCAGTCTGCGATGAATCCATGATGAATCACGCCGTAAGCTGAGAAGCCTCTTCTCTGGCAACTGCTCGCCACTTGAGAGTTGCGTGACTTTTAGAGACAATAAGCGCAAAGCTTGAAAAAAGGTTCATGTGCGTGTCTGTTGTTCTGAACATGTGTAGGACTGTGTGTGCCTTTTTGAGGGTTTGGGCACTGGCGGCATAATCTGAATGGCAGTCTTGACGCTGTAGCTCATAATGATTTCACAGCTCTCAGGTGTGCTGGACAGCTTTGCACCCTCCCACTTATTGCTGCCTCTTTCATTATGGGTGTCTGTGTGTGCTGAGAGAAAACACAGTCACCCTTCTGTTCCTAACCTATAGGGACATGTGGGCTGGTTACAATACTGATTATCCACTGCAGCTGGAAACAGTGCACAAATTCAGCAGGGATCAAAATCCCATTATGACAAGAATGTGTAAACTAACTGTCTGTGTGACTCTGTATTTGTGCATGCAAAATCCAGGTAGTTACACCCCTCCATCAATGACTGTTATTGCTAAAGCTCTAAATTGATAAGAAAACGATCTTATCAAATACTCACTGTGTGTTTGTTTATTTCACAGGTTTCAGCTTGGGGCGGTTACGTGTTCATCATCAACCTTATTCCTCTTCATGTATTTGTCCTGCTTCTCATGCAGCGCTTCAGTAGGAGAGTCTACATAGGTGAGATACAACACACACCCACGTACACATGAATACTTTATTTATGTTCACATTAATTCAAGGGCATTAACAGATGACATTGGGGATTTACAATTATGCTCATTTAACATTCAGTGTTGCACATCCAGGATAAACAAACAACATAAAGGGCAAGGTAACTCTGCAGTCAGCAGCTGCACACACACACACTTTCAGTATTTTCTCTACTCAGAGCCATGCACAGTGATGTGGGAGTGCTACACCGAATGGCTTGTTATTCTTTGTCATATCTGCATTGTTACTGATAATTAATAGCATCCACTAGCAGCTGATGTTGTGTAAGTAATGAGACAGATATCAGGTTTAAACAAATCCCCCAGAGAAGGTGGAAGAGATTCATGTTAGAAGTAAAAGGAGATGGAAAATGAAAATATAAGCAGGAAAAGAAAAAAAAATAAGATGAAAGCTGTCTTCCCTTCAAAGCGCTTCCCTCGTCGGAGACTCTGAACTTGCCTCACTGATCATAGATCGAGTCCTGACCCCAGGCTCACGGCCCCCTCCTGATGCCGCAACACCAAACCATTATTTCATATTCTCCAGCAGCCCATACATACTTACCAGGTCATAATCCTGTGGAAATAATGACATATCGCGATGTAAAAGGCACACAACTGGATGAGGGTAACTTGGCAAGAAAGCTGTGCAATGTGGAATGAAAGGGAACCCATACTGTGGACTGCTAGAACTTTGAGTCCAGAGAAGGAAGACTGAAAGGAGAAAAGACGGGGTGACAGCTGGATTCTTCATCCTCCAGTAGGATTTTTGGCAAAATAAATAATTTAGCATCAGACTGACTTTCTCAACCGCCTCCCTTGGTCTCCCACCTCCTTCATCCTCCCCCCTCTCCCCTCGCCTCCTGTGTCTGTCTCTCTCTGAAGGCCCGCACTGAACATTCTGCCTGCAGCAACACAGTAATTGATTTAGTTCAAAGTTGTAATAGCTCACTGTGTTCTGTGATGCCTACCTTGTACTGTGATTTGGAGTCCAGCCTGTGACCTGCTGTCACACGGCAGCCCTCTCTCACTCCATCTTCCCCGTCTAATGAAGCAAAAATAGCGTGATGAAATCCAATTGGAATTTCATTATCTCATGAGCAACGTCTCCTCTGTAGCAGAATAGAAAACTTAGAATAGAAACTCCTCTGATGGATGCCTCTGCTCTCAGCTTGGCTGCTAGTCCCCTGTCCCAGTCCAGATCATTACATCACTTAGCGTCTGGAAAGCAGGTGCCACGTGCTGCCTGCTGGGACGCTTTCAACAGGGCGCCAACGGGCCCTCATCCGTTACAGAACTGTGCTGCCTGGCCGCAGTAGTAGTGACTAAATGATTTAGATTAAACCTGATGACATGTTTTTGGAGAGGCAGGACACCACATATCATCTTTGACTTTGGATGCAGTTCCAGCAGAAAATGCAGACCTCTTCAGGTAACTGCAAAAATTGCAGAAATTACCACATACATATTTTTGCCAGTTTTTTAAATAGCTTTTACTTTTTACCACCATATCAAAGTTTCCCCCTATTAAAGTGGTAGCTAAAAACTTCAGTTGCCTGCTGTTTTTAGAAAAAAATTTATTTGTATTTTTAAAAAATGTGACCCATTTTGAAGATTTTGTCTTTAGTAGGAACCAACAGATGATGTAACATAGTACTACTGTACTGTATGTGACAGCTAGAGGTTACTTCACAGATTAAGTACTAGGTTATCCAATATGGTTACAATAGAACTGTGTTCAGTTTTCATTGAACATTAGAATATAAACAGCTGTCAGTGATGCATAACAGCACCACCAGTAGTGATGGCAGAGTTGAATCACACACACACACACAATGTCAATAAAAGCTGAATATTTGTTGAAGCTTCACAAAGGTACATAAATACATACATGGATAGCAGGATATTTGAACAGAATTGTGCTCCCTTTGTTCCCTCCAGTCTTATCAAGGCGAATAGAGAAAATCGTGATACAAAAGCAATTTGAAATATGTGTTGCTCCAAAAGAACAGGCTATTTTCACAGCAAGACTCACATCTGCTGGTGTAATACCAATAATAATCATGTCGTCTTGTGATGACTGCAGAGGAGGGAGATGAGGTTTGATTCTATGCCCAGACCCAAATTTGCGTAGACGTCACCCCCCCCCCACACCCCCGAGTCCCTTCAGTGGGATCTGGTGAGGCTTCAGCCTTACAAATTTATTTTAAGCGCAGCCACAGATGAAGAGCAAAGAGTGAAGATTAGAGTCCTCTATCTTATTGCAGAGTGAAAACCACATCATCGTTCAGCCCTTTTCTCAACATGGAATAATAATAGATCAGTTACTTAAAAATAATATATAATAAAAATGCAAATTATTAATAAATAATAAAATCAAATTATTAACTGTACATTTTGAAGAAAACTCAAGCTGCTGAATACCAGAACAGACACGGCGTGAAGAGGAACCTTTCACTTCTTCTTTCTGCTTCATCTCATCCAGACACACACGTGGTCAAACAAAGTCAACTCATCTAGCCAATTAAAAGATTTCTAACCTGATGTGCCATTTCTGTTCGACTCTGCGGCTCCTTGAAGAGAACTTACTCTTTTCTTTCATTGGCTGTGCTGTGGCAGTCTTCTACGAGCAGAGCTTGTTTGGGGCTTTTGTTGTTGAAGCTTTCTTTGAGTCTTTCTGACCCCTGAGGGCTTGTTTGAAACCCTTTTTAAGGTTTAGTTGGAGGGTTCACAGCGAGCCTGTTGTCTGGTGATGCCGCTGACTCTCAAGTGTAAATCGTTTGAACTCTGAAGCTTAATCGCTGTTAGACTGTCAGTTGTGATTTAGGCTCAAAAGGCATTTTGTTCTTGTGTGCCGCGTCAAGGACTTTGTAAGGTTGCTAGAGTCAGAAAAGGGCGGGGGGGGGTCCTAGAATCATTGTGTTCAATGTATTAATATTATTTGTCATGATAGAGATTTTACATCACATTGTTTTTTATATGATCTATTTCTCCATTTGAGCACACGTTTGGGTTTCATACCTGCAGAGTGACATTTTAGCAAAATCTTTAAAGAATAAAGCTAGAAATATTTATTTTATACATTTGTGGACGTCCCAACTCTCTGTGGCTACCAGCACAAAACCCATTGCTTCCTACTGAGGGTGGAAAGCTTGATAAATGAATAGTCAGTTGATTTTGATTTTCACATGTAAGTAAGCAGTGGTTTGTCTTTAACTGGTTGTTTCTCCCTCCAGCCTACAGCACCTTCTACATCATCGGCCTGGTCTTGTCCATGCAGATCCCCTTTGTGGGCTTTCAGCCAATCAGGACCAGTGAACACATGGCCGCAGCAGGTCAGTAACTAATGACCTGTGGTCTGGGTGGAAATTGGAAAATAGCATTGGAAGCCAATAATGTGTGTTTCCTGCAGGACTATGGAGTAAATCTTACACAAATCAGCATTCAGTGCAAAAACATTTTTCTAGCCTGTACTGCTGATGCACACCAGATTAAAGGGTAGATTCTCATTTTTCAGGTCTATAGTAATACAGTACACACATGCACATATGTACATTGGAAGCTCTAATGTTGTATTTAAATAAAAATACAAACAAAATGTCCAGTCAGGACCATAGGCTATAGATATCTGCTACAGAAGTAGATCTTTAAATGCAATCCCTTTAACCAGAGTTCATCTCAGACCATTCACCGTTCTAGTGTTGCCATGTAGGACACTAAGAGTACAGTGTTATTAGCTGCAGAGGTTCCTTAAATCATTCAGACATGCACAGTACTGAAACACAAGTATAGTACGTAATGCGGATGTGATACCTTTCACTGCGGTTGCATACTCGGTAGGGCTGAACGATTTTGGAAAATAATCTAATTGCGTTTTTTCGACCAAAATACTGATTGCAATTTAATATGCGATTCATTTTTAAGCTCTTTACCTTCTGTATTATTTAAAACGGACAAGCAGTAAATCGGTGTAAAGTATAACCAACACAATATTAGATAGATTAAATGATGACATTAGGTGATGCATGAATTGCATGAATTGCATGAATTATTATTATGAGCATTGGTGGAGGAGTATCAAATTATAATAATGTGAGAAAGATAATTTGAGAGTCAAGTCATGGCATTAAATAATGAAATAATATTATCAAGTAGGCTTACCTACAGACAACAAGAAAAACTAAGTTCACCACAGTATATTATAGTCAACAGGAAGCGCTGAATACAAACCCCACAGTTCAACCACCAGTTAATGAGTCCTTATCTCAGTTCAAATCTCCTAGGAGTTCATATCTCATCAAAAACCTCATTTTCAGCAACCACCTAGCAAGCAAACAAAACAAATACTCAGTTTGAGGTTCAATTCAAAAGTTGGCGAAGGAAAATAGACAAGCTTAGTAATTCTCCTATCGGCCCAACACTATTTGAAACACCGTTACATAGATTTTTCCTGAGCTGACTGGTGGCTGTGTGTGTGACGCAGGCACCGCAATACGCTTACCTTTACTACACGTGACTTTGTGTTCTGCATTTTTCCTGCCGCCACGGATGGCCTGAAGATTTCACCCATTACCTCCACCAAGTTACCCGCGGGTGGCGCGTGCTACTTTCATTCCCCGTGTGACACTAAATTTCTGTAGTGATCAGAGTGTAATCGCAGCCTTTGCGATTAGTTAATATCGCAAATGCAATTAATCGTTCAGCCCTAATAATTGGTTCACATTTAAATAACGTAACGGTTTTTAAATATCCTTCAATAACTGTTTTATTGTACATTAGAAAGACACTTTAAGACACAAACGGCAAATCATAAAAAAGAACAATAAAGACGTGATTATTCAAGTTGTTAACACTCAATACCTTAGTTTTAAAAATAAAAGTATTGGTTGTTCTCATCTGTTTTAGCCAGTGGAAGCAGAAGATATTATTCTATATTCACCTCCTGAACAAAGAGTATATTCCGTATTGTGCTGTGTCTCTGCAGGTGTGTTTGTGCTGCTTCAGGTCTATGCCTTCCTGCAGTACCTGAAGGACAGACTGACCAAGCAGGAGTTCCAGACTCTGTTCTTCCTCGGAGTCTCTCTGGCTGCTGGAGCTGTTTTCCTCTCTGTCATCTATCTGACATACACAGGTTGGTTCACGTTGCCTTTTGGAAGGGTTGGTCGACTGAATAGCTCTCAAATACAATTTCTGCAGCAGGAAAAAAAAAAAAATCTAAACTAGAAAATGAAGCAACCACATTTTAGTTTCTTTTAACTCCTGTGCAGATCAGGCCGTATTTCTGCCAGATCAGTTGATGTTCGGTTTCAGCTTTAAATAGGTTAGATATAAAGCAGAAAAACAAATATGAAAGACAATCCATCATATGCATCTACACGCAGATGGACTGGGTATGTCGTCATGTGGATTCAGGCCATAAAAACATGTAGTGTGAGTTAGCACACTGCAGCATTAGCTGGTTATGATAAGAATCAGCCCCTCCACTGACATCGCACATCTATTATCTATGTATGATAGGATCACCTGCTGGCTGCCTAACAGTGGTAATCTGTTTATATGTTCTCATTTATCATTGCACTGCTGAGCTGAGTGGACAGCAGGCCGGAGAGAGCTCATTACAGCCACTTATCTTGTGTACAGCCCTGCAACACACAACAACACAAGCATATTGCATTGAGTTATGTAATTATATGTTCGATACACGCTGTAGGAATGATGCAGAGCAATTACACGATGCGTGGCAGCATACACAGATCACTGACAGTCCACAGAATTGTGTGTACACAGGTTGGTCGGGGTTAAGACGTGCGTTTGTTGTAACTCTCCATATGGCTTGTGTGTGTGTTTTTCCCCTTCAGGGTACATTGCTCCATGGAGTGGGCGCTTCTACTCCCTCTGGGATACTGGGTAAGTCATCACAATTATTAAGCATTTGACAGCAGTGCTGATTAATAATTTGATTTAAATTGTGTACATTAGCACATTTACCTATCCATCCGTTATACTGTATGAGACAGAAGGGTGGGAATAAGTTTCAGTAAGATTTATTCCACCCTGTCTACTGGTTGATTTACTATGAAGTCTAACTTTTAATTTATTCAGCTTTAGTCCATCTGAGTGCATGTTTAATAGAAGATCAAGGTATAATCTTTTTTCTCGTGCACGGGTGAAAGTTGTTACCTATTTTTTACAAATGGAGATGACTTTTCCTATCAGACACATCGAATGCATACCAAGTACTGTAGCTTTACCTTCATGTAGCTGCAAAAATATTTTTATGGTTTAACAGCGAGTCAGTCATCCCGTCACTCAGCCCCATCATAAAATCCTAAACATAATGTTCTCCCCTCCCAGATCAGGGCTTACAGAGAACTGCCAGACTGCAGCATCAGCTGTAAAACTCTAAAACTCTCACAGAGTGTATGTGCACACATGTTTGTGTGTTTGTGCACACGCCGCAGTATAGAAGTTAAGTTTAGCTGCAGTGCAGTAAAAGTAATGAGGTCATCCTCTGACCCAAGTTAACTGACATCAGCCAGACTTGATTTCCTCAGCCATCCCAGTTCGTGTAAGATTTCACAGCTTTGCTATCAATAAGAGTGTTTTAGAATTAGTCAAGTGGAAATTAAAGGGAACAAAATTAACTACTGTGGTTTTTATCTTAAACAGAAAGTGTGTTTGACACTAATGATCCATTCACAATTTAATCATGTCATTATAAAACCTCCTTTTTCTCTTCCTTTGCCTAATCATGCCTTTTCTGTGGTTTCTCACGTCTCTCTGTCCTCCATGTTGTCCACAGCTATGCTAAGATCCACATTCCCATTATAGCGTCTGTATCTGAGCACCAGCCCACCACCTGGGTGTCCTTCTTCTTTGACCTACACATCCTCGTCTGCACCTTCCCAGCAGGCCTCTGGTTCTGCATTAAGAACATCAACGATGAACGTGTCTTTGGTAAGAACCGTATCACGGACTAAGTCGTTCTTTCTTTAAAAATTAGAACACCATTACGGAGAACAGTCATGAAACATTTCCTTTAAATGCAATCGGACTGTGATCCGGTATCGCAGGATTGATATACGAGGCAGCAGTTGTTGTTGTTGTGGTGGATCCGGAGACGGTGAGCTTCAGAGCGCCATCATTATCTATAAAGTGCCCACAATAACATGGAAGAAGGCTTTCATTAGTATTATAGGCTTTCATGTAGTGGTCCCTCAAGTGAAACTTGAGCACTAGCTTGATGAACATAGGTGTTGTACTTTTATTGATCAAATTCTTAAATAACATAACCCAGTTATAACATTGGAAGTCTAGCTTTGATAACATATTGTACATTATATATTTGACCCTGCAAAACTGTAGTTTGACAATAACTCAAAAATTTCAACTGAAGCTCCACTTACTAGCTTGTGTAGGGCTTTCAAGTTCATCCTCTGCTCTTCTTCGCTGGATGGAGTTTCAAGTGCTATAGCAACAGTGACTTGAGATCAAACAGTGATACTTAAGCATGTATCTAAAGGCAAGGAGCCTCGTGGCACGCTGGGTGAGGCCGTGGGGTTTCTTGAAATAAAAAACAGGGCAGAGTAAGAGCATCAAGAGATGGTAAAATGATAACTGCCTTCCTGTCAGATATATCACTTGGTTGACTACTATAATAATATACACTTATAATAGACAGTAAATGTTTAGATGGTAACCCTTAAACTGTACAGATGAAGTTTCTTTCAAGTGACCAGTAATCTAGAAAGTTTTTCCTAAAATTCTAAAACAAACATGTTTCAGAAGAGTTCCTGAAAAGTGAAAGCAGCCGTCCATCTTTAGTGTGAGATTTGCTGGCACTCACAAAGATTAGAGCGCTATTTGTTTTGGTTTTTCCTAATTAATTATGTATGTGCATATACAGTTCTCCTGTTGTCTCCTGAATTGATAACTGCATGATGTCCTGTTTGTCAGCATATTTCATGAGTCACATTTTCTCAACCTGGACTGTGCATAATATTCACATTCACTCCTGGAACAGTTTGGCACTAATACTCATGAGCCTGTGTTTTCAGTGACAGATTTAAAATAGAAAATTCCACAGGACTGGTTTTTTTTTCTCCATTATGCCACATGACAGTTAAAAGATCTCCTTTCATAGTGGTTCTTAAGAAATGAATTTCTTCTTTAGTTCTTAGTTTTTGCTTATGTTTAATAGAGTTACATAGATACTTGTACATGTTGGATATGTTCTTGTCAAAAAATAATAGTTTTGATAAGTTGATTTTTCATCTCTGAAATATCCCACAGTGCATTACAGTATCAATATTATAATATCAGTTGGGCTATAATGGGGGGAAAAAAACTTCATATTCAAAGTTTTTGGAACTTAACAAAGGGAGAAAAAAAAAAGAAGAAAAACAATCTAAATTGGCAGGCACTGTGTCTCCCAAAACAACTTTTTGCCCTAGAATGAAAACATCTCTGTGCATCCCATTTGGATTTCTGCTTTTCCCGCTGCCTCATTAACTTTGCTTGACATTGTCAGTTTAGTCTCTTGCTCGCTGATGCCACTTTGTCATGCAGATGATTTGCTTCTAAATCTGCCTGTGTGTACTTGAGTTACTTCATTCAAGTTATTTTAATTTGAAAGTTTCTGTGCTAAAATAATAATATTGATAAAGAGAAAGTAAAGTATACTCTTACAACTGCCAGCAGCTAATATAACATGATATTTTTAACAACTTCAATGGAAATTGAATTAGTATTTCTAAAATAAATAAACGGCACAAATTAAACTAAATATATGAGAGTTTAGATAAGAAGAAAAGCGCAAAAATAAACTTATTAACCATTATAAATCAATGAACATTAAATGAAGTTATGTGGTGTGAGCATTATTTATGGATTTTGTTGCTAATGATTAATTCATTATGTATTCATTCGCTGATCCTTTTCTCTTTTGGTTCTGTCTGTTCAGTGCAAGCAACAGAAAGGCTTTTTCCAACCACTGTGTCAACCAAAAATACCTTTTCAAAACAAATCGCTGGCGTTTCTGTACTTGGTACTTATATGTACTCATCAGGTTTGGATCGTGATATCCTCTCTTCTCTGCTTTTCTCTCACCAGTGGCCTTGTACGCCATCAGTGCTGTGTATTTTGCTGGCGTAATGGTGCGTTTGATGCTGACTCTGACTCCGGTGGTGTGCATGCTATCGGCGGTGGCCTTCTCCAGCGTCTTTGAACACTACCTGGGAGACGACATGAAGAAGCAGGGCCCTCCTGCAGAGGACAGCAGCGACGAGGACGACAGGAAGAACGCCGGAAACCTCTATGACAAGGTTAGCGGTCGTCAGAATGTGTGTGTGATGGGTCGCCATTTTGTCATTAATGTCAACCATGTTGTACATTAAAGTACCAAGTTTGTTTCTGTACATAACTGTCATCTTTGTAGACTGATACAAGGATGACTCTGTCCTTTTACCTTCAAGTCAGAATGGCCCTGTTCCTCTTTTTTATTAATGAATATCTTTTAATTACACAATACACAACATAGGGAACTCACATAGCCTGCATACCTAATACCAAAACATAATATTTGAAGCTGCAATAATTAAAATATTGATTTTTTTTAAAAGGGGATCAGATGACGTGATGTGTAATGTGAAATTGCTTTATTGTAGTGAACTGTCAGCCCGCAACTTTACTGGTTCAGTCTCGCTGCTCTTATCAGTGTCGTTTCAGCCTTATTTGTTGAGGCCGTAACAGACCTAGAAAGTGATTGAATAATAGGCATGCGTTGCCAAGGGGCCTCAAACAAAACTCCAGATGAAGGTCTGCTGGATGTGTAAATCGACAATTGTTTGCTAACACACTAACCCCAAGAACTTAATAACATAGTGATCTGTCAGTGTTGCATTAACAACTTGTTTCTCTTCCCCAAGTGGCCCAAAAAAAAAAATCAATGAATGCTGCTGTAAGTCAAATAAACTTTTAAGTAATTTAAAAAAACAAAATTTTTACACAGGGCTGTAGTAAAATCTGTATACTCTGTAAGAGCTTGTTTTAGGTACTTTCAATTTTATGTTCGTCAAAAATACAAAGTATTAAAAAAAAATGGGCCACAGATCGATTTTGACTTTCATATTGTGTCCAATTTGTGTGGCCAGGAAGTTGCTGGCGTCTGTGTCTTGGACTTGATACACGTGCAGCAAATACACTTGGGCAATGGCGGCGCCGGATTTATTGTAATGAGTATGAGCTTGAACATCAACATAAGTACTTTCAAGTACTTTTATACATTATAATTTCTTGTAAGAGCAACAACAACCGAAGACTTTTAACGTTACATTTTTCAAAATATTTCATAGAAAAAATGACTGATATTAAAGCTCCTATTCGTTCCGTTAAATCAGGTAGCGCTATTGTCCAAGTGTATTTACTGCAAGTCAGGCTATCAAGTGCAACATACAAAGAATTTCCTACTCACACATATGCAACACATTAAATATTAAATTTAAATTCAGTCCTTGGCTTTTTTCACTTCTTATTTTTGACCTGAGCATAAAATCCAAGTACAAAAAACACAAACCATTACTAGTTACTGTGTTGGATTCATAGAATGAATAGTGACATAATGAATAGTTTTTATTATTTTCTGATTTTAGATATCAGTTGAATATGAAAAGAACAGAGCATAAAATTCTTCTTGTGAACAAACAAAGCCACTCGTACAAAAGTCTTACATACAAGAGGCAATACACCACAAGCATTGTTGACACATAGTCAGCGTGATACAATACAAAGCTAGTTATCTTATGAAATCTAATAACAACCCCACAAAAACTATATCTGAACAGCACTTGTCTTGATGGATGGATCTTAAAGTAAAAAATGTAATTCGCAGTATACAGCAGGTCATGCTGAATCCTTATTACTCTCCTTCTCCTCCTTCCTCAGGGAAACCAAATAGCACTAATGTCCAATGCTTTTGTCATCCTTTGCTGCTTTTCTTCCAAATTGATACAGTGGGAATAATGCATTACCACCACATCACAGGTCTCCTGAAAGGCGGTGTTGAATGAGACATAAAACAGCTACAGCTGAGTTCAGTATCTGAGTTCTCTCAACGGGGGCAATTAACTGTGTCCTTGTATATTATCAGCTCATTTTTACAACACCCCTGTTTTGTTAAATTTACAAACGGTGTCCTGTCGGTGTGTGCCGTCTCCTGCAGGCCGGTAAGGTGCGCAAACACGTATCGGAGCAGGAGAAGGCCGAGGAGGGCCTCGGCCCCAACATCAAGTCCATAGTCACCATGCTGATGTTGATGCTGCTCATGATGTTCGCCGTCCACTGCACCTGGGTCACCAGCAACGCCTATTCCAGCCCTAGTGTGGTACTGGCATCATACAACCACGATGGGTGAGAGTTAATGACAACATGTGAAACAACATGTGCACTTCCCATATGTCACGTAAAGTAACAGTGATGTTCAAAAGTCAAATGTTCACTGTCTTTAAGTTTGAACATTTTCAAAAACACTCCAACAAGTATTCCTGTTTACATCTCTGTTGTACTGTTTACAAGAGCACAAGCCAGTGAAACAACATTTAGACTCTGAGGACACTAAAGCCACTGACAGCCATATTTATGGCATTCTTGTAGGGTTAGCAGCTCTGTAGAGGGTCAGTTCACCCAAATCACAGTTTACATTTTTCCAGGCAGATAGTTTGTGATTTTGGTGGCCAGGTTTTGACATAGAGTACCTGCCTCTGAGATTTCTGTTTGTTTGCAATGAAAAACAACATTTAAAAAATTCAACAGTAGCAGCTTTCCAGACACTGTTCCCATTAATCAGCAGACGGGGTTGTCATCACTTCTAACGAAGAAAAAATGTCTTTCAGTATGTGAGCTTAGACAGATTGTGAGACATTGGGCCCTCCCCCTATGTAGCAGATGCTTTAGTATTTTGGGGGGGGGTTATATTGCAGTTTAAAGCTAACTCTGAAATTCTGTTGTTGGTTTAACCTGTTTTGTTCATGCAGAAGAGAGGCTGTCCAAATAATTTCACAGCAGATCCACACTGATACTCTCCACAAATACCAAATACTGCAGCACAGTAGACTAAATATATAATAGACCCCCATCAAATGGAAAGGTTCTATTTTCTTGACATGGAGCTATTCTGCTTCCAAACATAGTTGAATAGCTGTACAAATTTAAAAGCATGTTTAGTGTTAAGTACACTGTACAGCTGTATAAAGGGATAGGGACTTTTCACCAAGACATCCTTATAACAGTCACGTCAATTAGAGGCTGTTCGTCAGGGGCCTGATATCAGACTGATCTCACAAGTCCTGGGCACATAAAACAAACCATCTGCATGGACAGATGCCACTATAGGTAGGCATGAATGTGTATGTAATTTGGGTGAGGAGTTTTACTTTCTAATTCAGTAAATTATATTGCTACTGTCAGCTCATACTGTATAGTGTGTGTGTGTGTGTGTGTGTGTAATAGTATATAGTATGTACTATTACACATATTCATAATTTACCCTCTACCCATCTGTAACTTTCTCCACCAGCTCCCGTAACATCCTGGATGACTTCAGGGAGGCCTACTACTGGCTGAGGCAGAACACTGACGAGCACGCCAGAGTGATGTCCTGGTGGGACTACGGCTACCAGATAGCAGGCATGGCAAACAGAACAACGCTGGTCGACAACAACACATGGAACAACAGTCACATAGCACTGGTGAGAGCAGCTGCACCTATAACACTGAGCTAGCCAATCTATAGTCCAATAGCTCAGCCCTCCCACATAGTTTCAGCTGAGAGATGTGTGCGAGCAGCCACTTCACTATGTTACACAAGCTCTCTTAGTCTAATTAACAAAATGTTAAGACAGCAAATATTCTTGCACCTGTTTATTTTCCTTCTCAAACAGAAAAATACAAAGTCATGTTTCTCTCTTTCACCGAACTAAGTGCCGTTAGCTCATCGTAAAACACACTTCATTCAAACGCGACAAAAAAAACAATCACCAGCTCTGATTTGGTTGAAAAAAATCCCTTAATTTGTTAGATGTAAAAATATTCTGGCTCTACATGCTGCCTCTCTGATGTCCGACCCCCCTCAAGCTCCTCTGCTGCTTGACACCTCTCCTCTCCCCGGCTGAACCCGCCGTGACTTGACGTGGAGTCGGAGTCCTGAGGCAGTATTTGGTCCTGGTCCGGCCGCCGAGGCCGGTTCTGTTGGCCGCTCACCCGGCTAAAACTTGGCAAAGACCCACTTGAATATCAGTGACCTCTGTGGACTGCAAGCGTGTTGATTTGTTGCCTTGGTGTACTGCACCACCAAGTGGACAAAATGTTGCATCACTGCACTGCACACAAGTGACAATGAGATCTCAAAAAAAAAACATGACAGTGGACGCTTAGTGTGCCTCACACTACATGTCTTTAAGGGGCCCTCTAGAGATTTACTACTACATTTTCATAAAGATGAGGCTCTCATTAGACATACTGAAAAAGAAGAAGCAAATATGGAGATACTTACTTTTAGTTGCTAATATGATTTAAAGCTTCAAAAACGCTGAAACATGCTCTTCCCATAATGCAACTCAGCGTCTCTTTCCTGCCTGGTCAAGGAAACCCAAACAGAAATAACTCATCATTTTACCATCATCAGGGCTGTTTTCTCAGGCTTGATGAAGCTCCTGCAGAGCCCCTGCTCAACAGCTTTCACAGACTGAGTAGCGCTAAACCTGTTCATGATGTTTTATACACAGGTTCTATTGAATGGAAATGAACTGTAGAACCGTCATGTCTCCGTGTTCCTACAGGTGGGCAAAGCTATGTCATCCAATGAGACTGCAGCCTATGAAATCATGAGGTCGCTGGATGTTGACTATGTCCTGATCATCTTTGGAGGAGTGATTGGCTACTCAGGCGACGACATCAACAAGTTCCTGTGGATGGTGCGCATCGCAGAGGGGGAGCACCCCCGGGACATCAGGGTGAGAGACGGCACACATACTACTGTATTTCAGTTCATTTAGTGGGCAGCTTCTATCAGGAGGAACAGAAGAGACGGTGAGCGTACTGCAGTAGTTCAATATTTACTGCAGAGACGGTGGATGCCTGCAAAGTGGAATTCATGTGAATGTTTGATGTGCTCTCTGAGGAAGGGAAATGCTGAGGGAAATCAGAGATTGGGAAGCAAATGTGCTTTAATTTGTTTGGCTGTAAAATAAAAGAAAATCACAGATCAAAATGTGCGAGGTAACTTATTTCTCCCTCCATGTCTCCCTGTCTTGCCTCTCAACCCAGGAAAGTGACTACTTTACCCCGCAGGGAGAGTTCAGAGTGGACAAAGCTGGTTCCCCCACCCTACTCAACTGCCTTATGTACAAAATGTCTTACTATCGCTTTGGAGAAATGCAGGTACGTCACCATTAATAATGATTCTGCTTAGCTAACTGACAGAATAATAGATTGCAAAGATCTCTGCGTTATAACAATGAGCCTGACAACGTAGTTTCAAATGGACATAAACGACTTCATCTGGCTTCATTTCTGTTAAGTTGGACTTCCGGACGCCACCAGGCTTTGACCGAACACGCAACGCTGAGATTGGCAACAAGGACATAAAGCTGAAGCACCTGGAGGAAGCCTTCACTTCAGAGCACTGGCTGGTCAGGATTTACAAGGTCAAAAAGCTGGAGAACAGAGACCGCGTAGAGCACAAGCTGCGAAGCACTGACACCACTAAGCAGAAGTACACCTCCAAAAAGGTACACTGGGATTCATTCAAACCCCGGACCGTGTCTAATCTAACGCTCACAGTAGACTCCAAAGAGAATTGGATTGAGGGTGTTCTCAGTGGGTAGACAACAGTAGACTGTGTGTTTTAATGCTACCCAACCAGAGCTAGGAGCTTAGAAGTCATGAGAGTGACTCAGGAAGTGTTCTGCAAGCCAGCTCTGTGATGACCAAAGCTAAATGTGGTGCTTCTTTGTGTTTACAATTCCATTTCATCTGGAGTATACTGCAGAGTTAACTGTGTGTGATGTGTGGTGGCCATGCAATACATTATTCACACATTAGATAATAAGCTCTTAACAGATGTGAACAGCAAATCCATTTTTACAGTAGTATTAGTGTTATTATAATGTTAACACCTTTGGCATAAGGCCTACACATGTTTGGCATAAATGTGATTACACACACATTTGTGACAAACGAACAAAGTACAGTTTTACAGTCTCTTGCAGTCTTACTTTAGACGTAATTGGAAAAAGTTGGAACCAGTTCTGTAGGACATTATTTGCCTTCTGAATCTGAAGTGGTTGCTGAAGAGTGTCAGAGCCAGGCTGGATTTCTTACTCGAGTGTGTTTTTGCTCTGCAGACAGCCAAGAGGAAGCGGGGATACATCAAGAACAAGTTTTCCCTCAAGAAGGGCAAGAAACTGACCAAGAAATCTTTATAGGAAGGCCACCGCCGACAGAGGCACATTATGGATGGGAGGGAGGAATGATCTTAAACACAAAACTTTTCAACAAAAACATGCAGCAACAAGAAAATCCACCAATCAAGATGAATAAGGAACACCTGAGGTTCGCCAGACCCCTGTCATCCCGAGCGTCCTCACCCGGAGGTCCAGGCTGGAAGCGTTACCATCGCCTAGAAGAATGTATTGAACCCCAGCTGACCTTTGACCTGATAAACGGGGTCAAGGAGGCGGAGAACGGGAGATGTTTGCTAGTCGGAGTTCCTCCCCACACTGGTTTTAACCTGAGGAACTGTGACCTTTGACCCGCTTTTCTTTTTGTACTTGAACGCGATAGGAGACAGAGAGAGCAAGAGAGATTAGATGTCCTCAATCCAGGGACTACAGAAAATACACCACTGTTCTCCAATGTCCCCAGTTCAGGGCTGACACCCTAGACCTGCTCAACTTTAGGTAAAGAGCGATTTTAGGATGACAGAAATGGTGTTTTCCCCTCGTTGGAGATTATTCAGTTCTTGATAATTATTCAGTTTAAAGGAAAAGGAGAGAAACAGAAATAGACCCACCATCCTGCTTTTTTAGTTTTAACCGGCAGTCAGTCACAGTCTGAGCTTTGAGTTTGTGCTCAGATGCTTTTGGAAAGTCCAGGTGTTGGAACATCTCTGTAGTCTGTTTTTATGTGTTTGATTTCCTTTACGTTCTCCTTAGAATCCATTATTACCAGGAACATGCATGTGCCAACAAGGAGAAGTCGTCACTCTTCATACAACCTCATACTGCTGCGCTGTCATATCATTTTAGAACCAGACGGATTCATTCCCCTTTATTATAACTTGGTCTTTTTGTCATGGTTTCTATCAGTAACCAAATTAATAATCGAGTACTCGGAGCACAGCGACAGAGGTCAAAAGAGGTCAGACAGGCCAACAAACACAAGCATTCACGTGATCTGTTTAGTTTTAAACAAACCATCATCGGAAGAGAAAACCGTCAAATTATTACCCAAACTGTCAGTAGTGAACATCAGTTGCAGTTTAACTGTTTACTTACTGGTTCAACCTACAGTACTTTTACATACAGTTTTCCTCTACAATAAAGGAATGTCACCATTTCCCTTTTCCCTTCCATCAAAAGGGGAATCCATCAAAAGGGGAATCAGAGGCTTTAGTCTCTAGTATAACGGAGCGGCTGAACATCATCAGCAACAAAATCATTACACAACTCTTCACAGGCAGAGTTGATCCCCTTGTGATGAATAAAGTGAACGTCTCCTGTAAAATCGGTGGAGTTTGATGTCTGCTCGCCTTTCCTGCCCTTTCAGTCTTTGTTGTAGTGTGTTCCCAGATCTCAGCAGTGACTTAAATGAGTACGATTTTCTCTCTTGCCTGATAAGAAATGATGGCTAAAACCAAAAAAAGGAAGACCCAAGTTGTAATAAACCAGAATGACCCTTCAGGCTGTGCACGCTAGTCTTATCTGTAACAGTCGTGCTTTGTTGAACCACACTGAGCCGAGCAGAGCAGGGCTATGAGACACCGTCAGTGTTCAGGATTTCACACAATTCAGGCTTTGTGTTGCCACACAAAAGGAAGGGGACTTTCAAAGGGTTAAAGCATTAAACTCTAGGGCTTCTTTCTAATTGGCTGAAATTCCGCTATTTTTAAATCTACAGATCTGTCGTGCAACCAGTTGCATAAAAGTGGCTACATATGATGATCTAAGAGTGGTTCACAGAGGCAACAAATGACAGATCTCCCTACAATTTAATCTGCCTTATTGTTGTTTCTTTAAGATATTCAAAGAAACGTATCTATCCGGCGTAAGCCGACTTTGATTCTGTTGTGAGGTTTTGTCTGAAGAACACCAAGTCAAGCGAATCCAGGTACAGAGCTTTGGCTTTAATGAGAAAATAAAAATCATATCATTTGCAGAGCTCAACAGAGTGTATTTATTACATGGATGACGGAGGCTGTGATGACTAAAGCGAGCGTAGCGTCTTATCACAAAATGCAAGGATTTTATTTAGTTGTGATTTTGATATTTTGAAGTAAAGGTTTCTTCCATCAATTGTAATGATCTGGATGCAGGTGTGAGTGTGAAACATGCCTTTTTGAATAAAGAGGTTGAAATAAATAAATGTTTTTATTTCTTTTAGCTCAAATGCATCACATTCTACTTACAGCATATTTAAAATGCATCTATATCTGCACACTATGAAGCATTAGTTAAGTATTGGTAAATACAGAATTCATAATTTATAAAGCATTGTTCCTACATTAATACACATTAGTAAGTCATTTATAAACCAGTGTACATGTTGCACTCTTTATTAATAAGCTCATCTATAATGTGCTAAATGATTGTATCTTCATACTTTATGATGGGTTCACCGTTTATTAATCAAGTATTATTTCAGTGACAAACCATATATATATGAGTTCTCAATGGTTCATTTAGAAAGTAAGAAAATTATTACAGAACTGCCTGTTTTGATACTTTCCTGAGTATTAACAATCTCAGCATAACTTATAAATCTACAAGTGGCAAAGCCCGAACGATGCTACTAAGCCGCCCACTAGTCTTGTATAACATACACCTACCCTCTCAAAAAACAGGCAGTGATAGTGTAGATCAGAATAAAACATTTATACATGTTTATGAATGGCTCTCTAATGTGTAATAATGTAGTAACAATGCTTTAGAAATGATTAATTCTGTATTTACTAATGCCTCATAGAGTGTAGTTATTAAAGTGCTGCCATTGCATCTGTAGCCCACATCTGGATGTCTGTCCCTTGACTACAACATGTGCAACTGCAAATTAGTGTGTTGTTATTTTGGGAAGAACAGGAGGACACTGTTATCTTAGCCAAACCTCCCAGCAGCACCTCTACAGCTCACTGATTAACACAGACATGACCTCATGTAACTCTTTGCAAGTACTTTGAACGTTGAAGACCCCTTGCACGCAGTTCTCAGCCTCTGGGAAAGTATCTCATTGTGTTAGCACGGTAATGTTTGCTTTTTAGCCCTAAGCACAAAGTGTAGCAGAGGCTGATGGGAATGCCATTGCAGGAATGAAGGTATTTGGTCATAAACCAAAGAAACTGTGACACACACACACACACACAGTGTAAACAATGAGCTTACAATACAGGATGTTGTACAGTTGATTTAATGTTTTATATTTCAAATGTTACAGCCAACCATTCTCTAAGAATGTATACAATAAAAACAAAGCCACAATCTTTTTAAAAAAAACAACATAAAACTGCATTGACAAGAATGCATTGTTTCTACATAAACTGTTACAGCTCCTTTGCCGAAGCTAGAATATATTCATACATTCAATACATAATTGAATGTATTAGAAATTCTACAAAGAGCACTTCCACGCTACTTACAAACACAATTACAGTTCTGATGACACCACAGAAAGCAACAGAAGGATCTTAATATGTATGAGAGGAAGTCTAACAATGTCAGGACACCAGGAGCTACTGGGACTAGGAGTCATCAAGAGTTTGTCGTCGTTTGAATTCCACCCGAAGAGATTTCAATATGGGTGTCAAAGAAAAATGTGTTCCTTTTAATTTACTTCTCAAAAAACAAAAATGAGGCTGAACTAGCCTGGCCAGTGTCAAAGCAGACGAAAAATCCGATAATCAAACGGCCTGTTTTTGGATCTGGTGTTGCCCTTTTTCCATTTATCAGATCTAGTTGCATAGTTTGTGTAGATCGGAGTGCCAACCAGATGTTTTGAGGAGCCCCTTTAAACAGCAAAAGCACAGCTTCCGCCTTGCTTGTGTGTTTGTGACTGCAGGAATCTCTGGACAACGTGCACTGACCTCTTAACTGTTTCACGAACTAGTGCTCATGTTCTCTTGTCATGAAAAAGGACATCCTACACATAGAATCACACTGGATTTTTCAGCCCACTAACTACACATGGCCTGAACTTTACATTACTGTCGACCATTTTCAAATGTTCAGAGATTTTTATATAGGGGGCCATTCGTTTCAGGACTGAATAATAAAAATAAAAATCAACTTCAAGCCAACTTTAATATGAAAAGAAAGGTCTCAATGGGCTGTGCAAACTTACAATTGCAGACTTGAACCATGTGCCTTTTCTTTTTGGCAAAGATGAGTTCCCTTCGGATCACGCTGAAGCTGTGAGCGGCGCCACTTCTGAAAAACTCACTGCTGGTGCATTCAGGAGCAATCAGACATTTGACTCACTTGTTAGTGGAATTTTCAAATTGTCAATCAAGTTACAGTTCTAATTTAAATTTACATAATTAACAAATGCTGCATCTAGTGAGTGTTTCAGGAAAATGAACAGGGACTCTGAGTTGGTGAAAAAAAAAAATATCATGCGTCTGTACTATTTATGCTGGGCCAAAGATTGTTTTGTCTAAGAAGAAACACCACTCTGTACAATTTATTGGAGGGTCATTTTGACCTGCTCATGTTAATTGATGTAAATACGGGCCTGTAGGTTGATTTAAAGGTAATTTTAAATTGCAATTGCAATGCCGGCCAGAAATGTAACTGAATTATTTTCTTCTAATCATTCAGCCCTTGCTCTTCCTGTTCAGCAAACTCAATTTGAGGACGTCTGAGTGTCCCTGAATGTACCAAGCCGAGTTGAAAACATCCCTCCTCTGCAGCGATGATAGAACAACAAGGGCATAAAGATGCTCATTATGAAGTATTTCTAATTTAAGCAATTTGAATCTCTGAAGGTTTTTTTACAGTGTCCTAAAACCAACAGTCGTCAGTAATATCACAGCTTGACTATGTGTAGTGAGTGGGCTACGACATGCACAATTAATAGCACTGTATGGAGAATGGACAGAATGGACGCTGGATGAACTCCAGACAGCATCTGCATCTGTTAGTTTTACATCTGTTCCTATTCGTCAATATTATGAAACATTTCGCCGTTAAAATTCAAATGTCACTTTGATTCCTTTATTCCTTGAGTCTTACATTTCGGAGATAACAGTTAGTCCTCCTCGTCCTCCTCATCCCCTCCAAATGACAGAAGGCTGTTGTTTTTTACTTTCTTTCCAGACTTCACCTCCTTCTTCTCCACCTCCTCCTTCTCATCGTCCTCCTCGTCCTCCACGTCCACCACCACCTTCTTCTTCTTCTTCTTCTCCTCTCCTCCATCACTCTTCCTCTTTTTGCTGGAGCTGGCGGTGATGCCCTGGAATTTGTCTGATGAGGAGCGCTTGGCTGGTTTCTTGAACAGGATTTTACCATCAGGAGGGAGTTCATCGTCTGTGGACAGGAGCGATTGTGTGCGATTCATAACAACAAACTTATTAGAGTGCAAAGTGTGTGCAAAGGCAGGGCTTTTCATTAACATTATCAGTAGCGGTGTGTTACTGCACCAATCTCCTTGTCAAGGGAAACAAAGAGGCCCTCAGTGACATAAACAGTCTTACCTTTCTCTGCTCCTTCTCCACCACGAATTTTGTCCTTGATCTTCTTCACGTCCTCTGTGCTCAGGTCCCCGCCTTTCAGGACCACAACTTGAGGCAACTCATCCTCTCGATCACTCCCGCTGTCATCATCCAATGTTGGCATCGCCTGGCGCTGAGAGGGAAATACGAAACACAGACAAAGGATAGTGTCTTAACAGGTGTTGTGCCGAATCTTGTATGCACCTCTAAATTATATTGTTTCTGAGTATATATATGTATATATATGTGTTATGAACGTTTAGAGTCGTTAATATTTTATTACACTTAGTAGATGCAGCATTCCTCGAGATTCAGCACAAATATGTGATCATAAGTTTGATCAATCTGCACGGGAAAGTGTCTCAAATTCATAATTCGGCAGAACAGATGTTGCAGGCTAACTTACCTGCCGAGAAGTGCATCCACCCCTTTGTCTCAGCATAAACCATCGCTACCACCAGCGAGGTGCGTACTTTTCTCGGCAGGTATTGCAGAATTCGGCACAACACCAGTGACTGAATTATTTAAAATCAGCAGATCACCGCTAAACTCCACAGCTGGTGAAGTATTTAGCTAAGATTTACCACACTGTCGTTATCCGGGGCTGCTAGCTTACACGACTAGCCAACCCGTCACATAACCTAAACTTACCTTAGTGTCCACCGTCGGTCCTTCTTTGTAACCAACATCACTTTTAAACTTCTTCAGGAAGGACGGCTCCGCCGGTTTCACCCATGACACGCCACTTGCCTTATTTCTGTTCATCGCAAAAAGGAGTAATACAACACGGACAGCCAAACGCAACCCGGGCCTAAACTGATGCCACGATAAGCGCGCAGGATTTCACCAAAACACAACGTACGCCGCCGCGAGTCACATGACTTCAGGGGCTCCTGCGATTGGTCGGATGTGAGGAGCTGGTGTGAAGTCAAGTTGGCGGGGAAAAAAATGTGATCGGAAGAGGTATTTCATCTTCAAAATAAAATAGAGTCAAAACGGTAATTGTTTGCCACCCATCGAAAACGCCAGACGTACAGGTGCTGGTCATATAATTAGAATATCATCAAAAAGTTGATTTATTTCAGTAATTCCATCCAAAAAGTGAAACTTGTATAATGTATACATTCATTCCACACAGACTGATATATTTCAAGTGTTCATTCCTTTTAATTTTGATGATTATAACTGACAACTAATGAAAACCCCAAAATCAGTATCTCAGAGAATTTGAATATTTTGAAAAGGTTCAATATTGAAGACACCTGGTGCCACACTCTAATCAGCTAATTAACTCAATACACCTGCAAAGGCCTTTAAATGGTCTCTCAGTCTAGTTCTGTAGGCTACACGATCATGGGGAAGACTGCTGACTTGACAGCTGTCCAAAAGACGACCATTGACACCTTGCACAAGGAGGGCAAGACACAAAAGGTCATTGCTAAAGAGTCTGGCTGTTCACAGAGCTCTGTGTCCAAGCACATTAATAGAGAGGCGAAGGGCAGGAAAAGATGTGGTAGAAAAAAAGTGTACAAGCAATAGGGATAACCGCACCCTGGAGAGGATTGTGAAACAAAACCCATTCAAAAATGTGGGGGAGATTCACAAAGAGTGGACTGCAGCTGGAGTCAGTGCTTCAAGAACCACCACGCACAGACGTATGCAAGACATGGGTTTCAGCTGTCGCATTCCTTGTGTCAAGACACAGCGTCAGAAGCGTCTCGCCTGGGCTAAAGACAAAAAGGACTGGACTGCTGCTGAGTGGTCCAAAGTTATGTTCTCTGATGAAAGTAAATTTTGCATTTCCTTTGGAAATCAAGGTCCCAGAGTCTGGAGGAAGAGAGGAGAGGCACAGAATCCACGTTGCTTGAAGTCCAGTGTAAAGTTTCCACAGTCAGTGATGGTTTGGGGTGCCATGTCATCTGCTGGTGTTGGTCCACTGTGTTTTCTGAGGTCCAAGGTCAACACAGCCGTCTACCAGGAAGTTTTAGAGCACTTCATGCTTCCTGCTGCTGACCAACTTTATGGAGATGCAGATTTAATTTTCCAACAGGACTTGGCACCTGCACACAGTGCCAAAGCTACCGGTACCTGGTTTAAGGACCAGGGTATCCCTGTTCTTAATTGGCCAGCAAACTCGCCTGACTTAACCCTATAGAAAATCTATGGGGTATTGTGAAGAGGAAGTTGCGATACGCCAGACCCAACAATGCAGAAGAGCTGAAGGCCACTATCAGAGCAACCTGGGCTCTCATCACACCTGAGCAGTGCCACAGACTGATGGACTCCATGCCACGCCGCATTGCTGCAGTAATTCAGGCAAAAGGAGCCCCAACTAAGTATTGAGTGCTGTACATGCTCATACTTTTCATATTCATACTTTTCAGTTGGCCAACATTTCTAAAAATCCTTTTTTTGTATTAGTCTTAAGTAATATTATAATTTTCAGAGATATTGAATTTGGAATTTTCATTAGTTTTCAGTTTTAATCATCACAATTAAATGAAATAAACATTTGAAATATATCAGCCTGTGTGGAATGAATGAATGAATATAATATCCAAGTTTCACTTTTTGAATGGAATTACTGAAATCAATTTTTTTTGATGATATTCTAATTATATGACCAGCACCTGTATACTCCTCAGGTAGTGTGTTTTTTTTTTTTTTTTTTTTATCACCAGTAAAGGTTGCAATTATTTTGACACTGTAATAATTTTTTTGGGGTGTATTTAAAGTTGTAGCTGTAACATTAGCGTATTTTCAGTTATGGAATTAGCCGCACCGAAGACGAACAGTAGCCCAAAATGTCATTTACTGACCCTACTGTAAAATATGTTTGTGGACCAAAACTCCTCAAGCAAGCTTTTGTTTTGAAAGTGTCTAACACGGTAAATATCCTTTAACAAACTTGACACTGTCTCTCAGTGGACATTTGCCCGGATTCACAAGAAGACTCCTTAATGTGCTCCATTCTCCTCGAATATGATTTCGGGGTCTTTTTACGCGTTGTTGGCGGGGTTTTGGGGCGCCGCTGCCTCTTTGTCGGCCAAGCTGTCCGTCGGTGCAGACTACCTGAGAGACATGTGTGAGACCGGGCTCAGCGGCTGGACTCAAACACACAGTGCAACTACAGCCTGTGACTGGGTGAGACCTTTTTATATACAGTCTGTCTCTCAACGCTGTCCCCTCTTTCTGCTCCTGTTGAACACACGAGAATCCCTCTTTAGTGTTCATGTGTAAATAAAGAAGCCGGAAGTTAGTTTTTGTGCCAGTGGAGCACTAAATGCAAAGTTGTGAAAAATCAGAGGCTTAACGTTAATAATTGAGTAAATGACTGGTGATTGTTTTTGTGTTTTGTTTTGTTTTTGCTCTTCACTGTTGACATGTATGTTTTTTTTTTTTGGTTCACCTGTACTGATTTTGTCTTTTTTAAGATTTGTGAACATGTCCTGAAAATATTAGTAACCTGCCATCACTTGGTTTCATTGTATAGTGTAAAAATAAAAGCATGCAGCTGTTAAGGAACACATGATTAGTCAGATTTCTCAGCAGGCATTTAAATATGTCACTGTAGCTTAACTTCATTAGACGCAGCTGTGCTTTGCTCACTATTCCTGTCTGCTGTGATGGAGATCTGTTTGTGAATGACACTGCTTGGTTAAGCATTTTGCCTCATATCATTACATCCTGTTACAACGAGCTAAAACAAAATGGTTACACGCAGCACATACAGTCAAATGACAGGAACACCCTGCTGAACCTGATCCCAGCACCTGTGTGTATTTCCTTTAATTGGTCACCCACCTGTAGCTAGCTGACTGCTGCTTCCTCATTTCACCTGTGTGTTTCCAGCTCTGCCTCCCCCTGCGGCTGCTGTGTGGAGGCCTGCTGTTCACCTGCAATGCTGTCATGTGGACCTTCTTCTCCAAGGCTCTCCGACACTGCTCCTCTTCAGCCAGGGCCACAGTCACTAGTACTGCATCTAACTTTATCTCCTCGGTGAGCTCTAGTATTCACATTGTTTTATCGCTTAAAGCATTCCTACTTATGTGGTGTCTTTGTTTTACAGTGAATATTTGTGTGTGTGTGTCCCAGGCTGTTCTGGGAAGGGTGATTTTTGGAGAGACCCATGCAGCTCTCTGGTGGGCGGGCATCTTTCTCACTCTGTGTGGGTTGCTGGTGCTCTATGGATCCACATCTCAGACACTCCCGCAGGAAGAGGGCAAAAAGATGCCATAGCTTTGGCTCATCACTGCTCCTCGGTCACGGTCGCGCCAACCTGGCGGCAAGACTCCCTCAGAGACACATAATGGATTTTCTCAGGCACTTAGCGGCGGAAATGCTGCTTATATAAGTCAGTGTCCCTAAGTGCAATTAAAACAACAGATTCGGTACCATTCGTCCCAGTTATACATTTGCAGTACATGCAGTCCACATTACGGCCTGTTAACTCTTAGGCTGTTTCATAAATGCATTCACGAGCCCCATGAGTAGAGATGAGGGTGTATTTATTTTTAATGACATGCATAAAACTGTCTGTCTGCAAATATCTGATCATTTTAACATTGCACACATCTACGTGTTTTCCTGTTAAAACTCAGGTCCCTCTTGTAAAAGTGATCCTTGATCACACTGGAGCAAACCTGGTTAAATAATAATAAAGGGTACCTGCTTTATTTAATGTTAGGACCATAGACTGTATGGTTAGAACATGATGACATTCTTACTTTGGCACCATCTAGTGTTAGTATTAAGTATGTCGCTGGAAGAAAGCAATGCACACCACAGAACTGTAATATTGAGAAATGAAAGCTCTGTGCAGTACCACTTATTTGGTATTGTCTTATTAGTTTAGAATGTCAATCTTTCTAAAATCAGCAAGTTCACTTTTATTGGAAATACCTTTTGTATGTAAAACTGCAGATGAGTTTGTAAAAAAATAAATTCTCTCATTCAATGCTGTTTTTTGTTTTATGATTACCAGCAACAATACTGTTCATAATGTACAGATATGAATGTATATGAAATATTTCCATTTATTTTAGAATTTAAAAGTGAAACCCACAAAATGAATGAAACTGTTAAAATGTAAACATGACAAAACATGAGTGGTCCCATGACATCCAGCACCCATTTCAGTTAAAAGCCCTTATCCAGTAGCTTATTCAATTACATATTAATCTCTTCCACGTAAAGTCAATTACCGTTGATTTTTTTCTGCATGTGCAACAGAGTGATGAGGTGAAAATGGCAACTCCAGACACAGACACCACAACTGGATGGATAAGTAACTGAACAACACATACAAAAAAAAGTTTTCCCCTACATTGTGTCACACTGAAATGTTTGCTCGTCAAGACAGATAAGGCACAATGTGAATTAAAATCCTCAACAAAAAGAAAAAAGAAAAAAGGCATCAGAGACAGCAAAGTGGTTGAAAGCAGACTGCTCATGCTTCAAGTGTCACATTAGTGCTACAGTTAGTGGCGTTCTCCTGAGGCGGCTCAAAGAGATGCTTTAAAATCCATCATCTTCTCACCTCGAGTCAGAAACACTTTGGTTGCGCTAACAGGAATTTTGCGTCCTTCACCACTTAGTTACACAATGATTTCAGGAAAATACTGCAGGTTGGGCAGCGCAAGTTGAGTAATACAAGATCATTTCCACGTGGTATTAGGAGTCCCCCTTATTGTGTGTGCAACAGCAGAACATTTATAAAAAAGGGCCAGGATACTAAAGTTTAAGGTCGCTGCCCTGAACATCCTGCAAACGGCTGCACTTATACTAGAAGAGGGGACATGTCGTGATACATAGATAAAAAGGTCTTCAAGATAAAGATTAAAATTCCAGGTTTCCCGTTATTTAATAAAGTCTTTAAAAACCGTGCGTCCACGAAATCCAAAGGGATCTTTACTTGCTTGTGCAGAAGCGCTGGCAGATTGAGAACCAGTGTCTCGCTGACTTCATGGAGTGCTAGTCCAGCGGTATCTCTATGACATCCTCCTCGATGATCTCCCCCTGTGGGACGGTGAAGTGCTCTGGGTGGCTCTTCTTGCAGCTCAGCCCTGCGAAGGGGCTGCACCAGGACAGAGAGAACGGGCCGCCGAACGCCACCTGCATGGCCTCCCAGCACGGCACCTTCCCCCACCTCCCTGTCTCTCCCTTGAGACGCTCGATCCCCTGAAGAAGACACAACAATGAGGGTCTGAGGTGAACGGAGCAGAGTATAAAAGGGCTGGGGATGTCTGTCATTTTCAGCATGCATTCTCATTCACGACTATGACACAAAGTCGATGACTAAAACTGCAACAACACTATGATGTAGCTCTTTGGGCTTGTTTCTCAGACACAAACAGACTAAAGAAGAGAGAAAAAAAGCCCTCATTTAAATGAAAGCATAGGTTCAGATTTTTCAGTTTGCTGTATGCATGTTGAATTTGTTGTTATTGGTTGCTGTAATCATCCCTCCTGTCCATAGTGGTCATGGATCCAGTCCTAGTGCCTTCCTACTACACTAAATCTACAGTCCTTGTTCTGTGCAACAAGACTAATACAGCCACGCTAGCACTGCTAACATTTGCTAATTAGCACTAAACACAAAGTAAAGCATGGCTTCAACCAAAGTGTTGGGTCATTTGAAATTTTGACCTGATGATGGTGCTAACGAAAAACAAAGGCGCCATCGAAGTTGCTGTAATTCATCCTGAGAGGAACATGAACGTCTGAACCAAATTAAATGGTAATCCTTCAAGTAGACGAGTTACTTCACACAAAACCACAAACATGAACAGGATGGTGTTCCTAGAGGAAAAGTCAGGAAACCGTCCAAGTTTGCAGGATAACGTCGTGGAAACATTGATGTCTGTATAAAACTGTTCTGACAATCTATCCAGTAGCTGTTGAGATATTTCAGTCTGGACCAAAGTTAATACAAATTCAAATGTACTGTGGCAGGTTGGGGTGTTTGTATAAATGCATTTTACTCTGATTTATTGCGTACCCTGATGCTCTCAAATTAGGCAACTGTTCTTCTCTTCAGTAACACACAGTTAAGGAAACTAGCCGGCCATGCTGAGTAGGTAATTGTGACACCAAATCATCTGAGCGGTGATCTGCAAGAGCATTTAGGATTCAACACTATAAATGAAATATATATATATATATAAAAACATGAGACTGTTTGTAGCAACATTACCATGACAACTAAACTAAAGTCAGCTTGTCACTCAACGAAGCTGCAGAGGCAGCATGAACGCATTTAACAATTAGGCCTACGATATGTGAATGTATCTGAATTTTAACAATTTTTTTATTTTTTTTTTAATTCAAACTTGATTTTTTGTCATTTAAGCGCATAACACACTGCCACCGCAGTGCCACATTATTACAACCAATAGGAAGCTTTGAGCTGCAGCGCGCTGACCAGACTAGTCTCACAAAAGACAACGACTCCAAGAAGTGTAAAAGGAGAGGAAGTCCAGCGGCCACAGGAGCAGAGAACAAGAAGGTCCAGTATGGGAGTGAGGTTGAGTTGTACATAGAAAACAAAAGGGGTAGCTGTTTTGATGCATGCTGTTCAGCGGCGTATTTTTGGCTACTCCGATAACTGAAGCAACGTTAGAATGCATTTTTGGACAGTGCAAGGACTGTGCTTACAAAAAGTCATTACAGCAACCAATGACTCAATGTTATGTATTAAAATACATTTTGAAGTCGGTCCTTCAACTGCTTTTGTATCAAGTTCGGATTTGTTTTCTAAGAAACATGCCCAAAATGTAATCAAACACTGCAAAATGACTCGCATGCACTTTCAAAATAAAGACTAAACCCCTGTGAAAGAAGCAAACTTCAACTGTCAAATGGTCAAAACCGTGCATGCACCCTGTTACATAGAGCTCACTCATTCATTCATAATGTTTGGTTGAATCTGAAACAGCAAAAGAAGAAATGAAGCTCCCTGTGGACTTCAGATTAAATCTGCATGCTTGTGATGTGCTAAGCTTGATGGGACGGCTAATGTGTCCTCTGTAGCAAGCTTACCTCTCCTCAAGATTATAAAGAGTTGTCTGCTTCAGAAAGCTTTTGGCAGAATGAGTTATCAACCAAAACAAATGCATGAGTGTGGAGAGAACATCACATGGGAAAGAGGCAGAATCCAAAATTGGGAATAGAATGAAAGACAAGGACAGAGTGAACTTTGTACAATGAAGGGTGTGAGAGGACCGTATGCAGGGAAAGCAGAAACCTTTTCTTTAACATTATTTGAACATAAGAAATTGAGAAGTAGAAACACATATTTGTACAATCCAAGGGGAAAGGAATACATTCAAAAAGGCAAGCAAACACAGTTTTTGCATTGCAACCGAGAAGTATTTATTCTCTGCGCATGTGCTGAAATATCATCAGAATATTTAGAAATAATTAAAATTTCTGTAAAAAACAAATCATCTCCACCATCACTCTCACCAGCAAGACTTGGCACCATCATACCAGCAGTGTTTCACATACATTACTAAACTAGCCTTCACCTGTACCATGCATTCAGATAACAGAGGATACATACAATATCATGTAAACAAAGAATAGAAGAATAAAATGCACACTTTAGAGCAGAGCAGTTCAGACAGGAGAAAATCCTAAATAAAGACAAAGTGTGAATTAGCCTTTTTAGTACTTAAATGTGAATGATGAAAAGTTAATACTTTGTTAAATGCTTTGAAGTAATCTGAAATAGTGCAGAAATACAGTTCAGCTAATATCTCGCTGCTGCATAACAACATGTATGCAGTTAGACATTTTTATACGGCGCTTCCCTTTGACTTTTCAAGCCAAGAACAGTGTCCTTTTTTTGAGGAATTTCATTTCAACGCTTTCCCAAATAATCATGTAATTGTGTTCACCGAGTTTGGCACATGCTCACAACATCAATACGCCACATGGGCTGACAGCACAGGGGCTGATTCACTGGCAAGTGTTCACTCACACACACACGTTAGGAGTTACTGTGGGAGGCCAAACCTTTCCTCAAAAAAAGGGCGAATGAGCATATGCTACAATATGGTCGCTGACAGGCTGGTAACTCGACCGACAACATTCTAACAGCCACGTTCTGCAGCTGAAAGACGAGCTCAGGTTGACATTTTTACTCTTTTCCTCATTGAACGTTGCAAGAGTGACTCAGCAAAACTTCCCACCACCAAAGCAAGCCGGAGCAAATAAAAAAAAACTTCCTGGCTTGTTTTGGTAAAGACAAAAATACATCTCCGCCCTCCAGCAAAGGCTTTGTTCATGCATCAGAGAGGCATCAGGCAGAGTGTTCCACACTTGGGCAACATGTTGGTATTAAGTCTTTTAAAACACACGATTAAACGGCCTTGTGCAGTTTTCTAAGAGGGATCCTTCGGTCTGTCTAATGGAAAAACACTGGCTACTTTATGTGTCTCACAGGGGAGCTGTGGGAAGTTTGAAAACCACCCATCAATAACGTTATCAAAGGTTTGCTGCCTTCTACTTTCTGGATTTTTCACTGGGGGGGTCAGTATATTCAATCTACACTGGGGATTGTAAGAAGGGATGCACTGTAAAATGTTCCACACAGTGTGGTGAACAGATTTTAAATTATAATGAGCACTGGTTTTACATTGGGGATCGATGTCATCCCTAACTGTTAGAACGGGTGAGACAAGCCTGAACTTCACTTTAAGCAGAAACATTTTCATGATTATAAAATCGAACGATGGCAAACTGCTCCTTTATGTGCTGTATTTGGCACCAGCTAAAAGGGTCCGCCCTAGAATGGATCTGTTACTGCAGAGGCTGAACCTACTGTAACCCAACCGTTCATCTAATCCATTCCAGTTTGGACCGATTTAAAAGGTTTGTTTTGTCCATATCTGGAACACACTACTGATTACTATCTGACAAGAGACACATTTAAAAAGGGGACAATTCCCCCAAATTACAAAAATACTTATTTTTCCGTTTACCTCCAGCACTATGTGGCCACGCAGATAGTTTTGGTTTTAATTTGCCTAGGATTGGAATTATCTGTTCTCACCAATGTACAATGGAGGTGAATGGAACCTTGTTCGCATTGCTTGCACAAGCAAAACTGTATATCCACAAACAATGCCCTGGTCACCCTGGATACTCAGCAGATCTCACTGTAAAAAGGTTTCCTGAAATCAGTCCCAGTGAAAACTACTGACAGTGAGGTCTCTGAATTACCCTTCTTCACCAAGGTATCAATTCTGCAAGGACTTTCTCTAATGTCATTTTTCAATGCTTTTACCACAAAGAGCTGAAATTAATAGTTGATTATAAACGATTAGTAACCCAACAAAAAACATATCAAACTATTTTGACAAAGTTTCTTTAGCAAAGTTACAAGTTCCAGAATATTTCTTGTATTTTAATGGATATCTTTCAAGTTTTAGGCCGTTGGTTGAACACAACAAGGAGGTTAAACACATCAAATTGGGCTCTGGGAACACGTAATGGGCACTCTCATAATATTTTAAAGATTAATCAAGAAAATATTTGGTAGATTTATTGACAATGAAACTAATCAGCAGAGGCAGCCCTAAATTTCCATTCTCTTCCATTGAATTGGAGTATTAGAGCGTTTTCAGGGGTGGATCTCTCACACCTTAAACTATCAGCATGGCCATACACCACTAGGGATAAGTGGGAAGATGAAGCTTTTTGGAATTTAGCTGAACTAAACCTTGAAGGGGTAGCAGGAGTAAACACAAAGCAAGAAAAAGAGCAGGCTTCTGATTCAACAACAGAAATAAAAAAATAGTCCAGAAAAGAAAAGATTTACCCACAGTGTTTGCAAACAGCATTCACAAACTGAAAGGGTTTTCTTTTTCTCTGCAACTCGACTCACTCAAGGCAACACAAAAATAAACTTATAGCGCACTTAGTTGGCAACACAAAAAGCAGATGGAAAGCTGTCCATGGCTAGCGTGGGAGATACAATGGAAATCATGTTCAGCATTGGGAACAACAGACTGCCATAGCTGAGCTCTGTGGGGCTGGGCAGGGCTTCCCACTTTGGTTTTGACCCGGGCCGCCTCGTTCCCTGCGCTGAGCTCTCACACCACATACTGGTAGGTCTCAGCCTTCCCATGGTCAGGGGTGGAGAAGGGACTAAACCACAATAAGGAGAAAGGGTGTCCAAATACCGCCCTCATGTTCATCCACTTAGTTTTTTTAGCCCATCTTCTCTCTTCCTTTTTCAACTGCTCTATGCCCTGAAAACGAGAGACAACCAAACTTCAGTTGGTGGGCTTTTGTGACCCAGTCAGTAATCACAAACCAAATTCCAAATACTAAATATAAAGAAAGAAAATACTTGGAACCGTTTATGAAAATCATCTGGACCACAAAGCCAGTATTTTAGTGCTCTGTCTACAAGCATTATGTAGTTGCTTGTGCCTTGCCCTCTGTGTGTTGTACAGCCGCCTGTACGTCCCCCTCTGCTTGATTTAACGATTAAATCTCTCCCATTTATCTGACCTAGAGTTGCAGACAAAAAGAAGCTGAAAGCAGGAAAAGGAGTTTGGTTTGGTGAGCTCCAATACACAGGCACACCAACAGACTGAATGATTTTAATATGGCACCAAACTACAAAGAGGGTACGGAGTCCTTCTTCCACTGATACATGGACAAATTTACCTTTCTACAAAAATATATTTGCATCTTTAAGTACATCACTTAGTGGTTTTACACATAACCCAACACCTCTGTGGCTGCAGCAGGACGTGAAAACTCCAAGTGATTTCATGAGCAAAGTGTTCAAGTCAGGTACCTGTAAAGGATACAGGTTAAACGTATGGCCTGTAAGACTGACTTTAAGACCACTGCCACCTGGCACTGGTGTGTGTTCTACGTAAGTGAGTACACCAGCACATGAAATTAGATCACTGACTAGTCAGTATAATAGGCCCGATCAATACGGTTGCACCTTATAAATTACATTTATATTTATAGATCATTAAAAGTTTGACTTGAGTGTTTGTGTTTCGAAACTGACTTTGTTTTAACAAACACAGCCAATTATAATTAATGTAAACACACCACAAACCGCAGAAGAAAACATTAATAACTTTTTTATTTATGTTTAGATTGTTGTCTAGTTTCACATTTCATTTAACGAGTTTGGTTTTGGGGTAACCCAAATTTGCATTACAGGTTGTGCTTTTAAAAGTTACAGTATCTCACAAAAGTGAGTAAACCCCTCACATTTTTGTAAATATTTGATTATATCTTTTCATGTGACAACTCTGAAGAAATGGCACTTTGCTTCAATATAAAGTAGTGAGTGTGCAGCTTGTATAACAGTGTAAATTTGCTGTCCCCTCAAAATAACACATCACACAGCCATTAATGTCTAAACCGCTGGCAACAAAAGTGAGTACAAAGGTGAGTGAAAATGTCCAAATTGGGCCCAAAGTGTCAATATTTTGTGTGGCCAGCATTATTTTCCAGCACTGCTTTAACCTTCTTGGGCATAGAGTTCACCAGAGCATCACAGGTCGCCACTGGAGTCCTCTTCCACTCCTCCATGACGACATCACGGAGCTGCTGGATGTTAGAGACCGTGCGCTCCTCCACTTTCCGTTTGACGTTGCCCCACAGATGCTCAATAGGGTTTAGGTCCGGAGACGTGCTTGGCCAGTCCATCACCTTTACCCTCAGCTTCTTTAGCGAGGCAGCTGTCGTCTTGGAGGTCAGCTGCTTCAGTATGTCACAATACATGTTGACATTCATGGTTCCCTCAATGAACTGAAGCTTCCCAGTGCCAGCAGGACTCATGCAGCTCCAGACCAGGACACTACCGCCACCATGCTTCACTGTAGGCAAGACACACGTTGTGCTCCTCACCTGGTTGCCGCCACACACGTTGACACCATCTGAACTAAACAAGTTTATCTTGTGCTCATCAGACCACAGGACCTGGTTCCAGTAGTCCATGTCCTTAGTCTGCTTGTCTTCAGCAAACTGTTTGCGGGTTTTGTTGTGCATCATCATTAGAAGAAGCTTCCTTCTGGGACGACAGCCATGCAGACCAATTTGATGCAGTGTGAGGTGTACGGTCTGAGCACTGACAGGCTGACCCCACCACCCCTTCAACCTCTGCAGCAATGCTGGCAGCACTCATCTATTTCCCAGAGACAACCTCTGGATATGACACTGAGCACGTGCGCTGAAATTACTTGGTTGACCGTGGCGAAGCCTGTTCTGAGTGGAATCTGTCCCGTTGAACCGCTGTATGGTCTCGGCCACCGTGCTGCGGCTCAGTTAAAGAGTCTTGGCAATCTTCTTATAGCCTTGGCCATCTTTATGTTGGAGCAAACCATTCTTTTTTTTCTCCAGATCCTCAGAGAGTTCTTTGCCATGAGGTGCCATGTTGAACTTCAAGTGATCAGTATGAGGGAGTGTGAGAGCGAGAACACTAAATTTAACACACCTACTCCCCATTCACACCTTGTAACACTAACGAGTCACATGACACCGGGGAGGTAAAATGGCTAATTGGGCCCAATTTGGACCTTTTCACTTAGGGGTGTACTTATTTTGTTGCCAGGTTTAGACATTAATGGCTGTGTGATGTGTTATATTGAGGGGACAGCAAATTTACACTGTTGTACAAGCTGCACACTCACTGCTTTACATTGAAGCAAAGTGTCATTTCTTCAGAGTTGTCACATGAAAAGATATAATCAGATATTTACAAAAATGTGAGGGGTGTACTCACTTTTGTGAGATACTGTAACTGTCAAAATTAGGGAAACAGCTGAGGAGCAAATCTTATCCAGAATGATTGAATTGAGTAATAAAAAAAAATCTTTAGAATAATCAAAAAAAAATCTGATGTTTGATTAATCAGCTAATCAAAATAAATAATAATCAGATTCAAAAAACAATTGTTAGGTGCAGCCCTAGTCGTATATGAACAGTTTGGTAATTATTCAGCGTAAGACAGTGAAATTCTTGGAGGATAATAATAATAATAATAATAATATCATCATCTATCAAGAATATATAATTATTATTATTATAATAATAAAAAAAATTATTATTAGTATCATCCTACAAGAATTTCACAGAATTATGCAGACTCTAACTGAATTTCAGTTCAGCTAGCTAATTACCATTAATTCTAAGAGTTTGTCAAACTCTTTCTGGAACTGACTTTTTGGTGGGAGGAGTGTTGCTAACATGCTAACCATGTAATGATGGGTCAAGGGAAAAACTCAGCTTCTATCCCAGCTGATGTGGAATGAAAGTAAGGAGCAGTTCTTGAATTGCTGGGTATCTGCAGAAGTACTGGTCTAACCATCAGCACGGTGAATCCTGCAGTCACAGACAAATTGATGTTTCTTTCTTTTTGACAGTTCCTAATTTTTTCATACAATGTTTTCACTTAAAATAAAGACTTGCAGGGAATTTGTGAACTTTATTCTGCACCAGGCTGCAGTATGAGAGATGTCACCTAAGAGTTTGAATTGGAAGTAGATGGTCAAAGATGTTTATGTTAAAAAGCAAAAAGGGGGGCAGCAGCAGGGAGAAGAGCAGAAGGACGAGAGGAAAGGAAGAGGATTGTTGGTCACTAAATGGATCACTTACGGTCTCGTCGGTACAGATGGAGTGGACTTGGGTGCCGAACATCACAGAGGTGAAGATGAGGAAGAGGAGACCCTCAAAGCACAGGAGTATGAGGAGGATGACTGTTGCTGGAGGAGAGAAGGAACTGCACTCTGGGGGATTGGAGGGACATGGAGGAAGAGAAGTGAACGGGCTAAAAAGAGGGCCATATGAGGAACTGCTGTACTCTACAATGAAAGAAACTACTGCACTCTGCTGTTAACTCGTCTGCAGCACTACGGTGAGGATGCAAAGCGTTGAAGCAGTTCTGTCAACACGTGCTGAGGTCCTTCAGTAAAAGGGTGGGTGGGAACTTTAGAACTGTAAACCAAATGTAAAATGTCTGTTGGCTTTTGAATGTAGAGAACAAAGCAACGGCACTAAGTCAAACAAGTCACTCCTGCAGACTGCTCTGGTGCTTTCCCTGAATAGCATGTGCCTCAGCTTTAAAACAGAACTAAATCTAAATATGACAGATGTTGAAAAAGCTTAAGACAACAGTCTAAAATGAAGCAGCAACATAAGAGTACAGCACACTGCAACCAGGATGACAAACACGACAGGTTCAGGGAGCGTAAAGGCCTTTAGGGATTTCCCATGCCAGTAGTTGCACATTACCACAAGACACAATAGTGAAAATGTGGCTGACATGCTGACAGAGTGTGTGCCTCAGTCAAACACATGCAACCCAGCTGCTTCAGTGTAGAGCAGGAAACTGAAGCGGGAACGTAAATGTTTGCACAAAATGTCATTCATACCTGCGAATATCGTATTTCTGATAGCTGTGGCGAGGACCTAGGGGGAAATACTACAATATTCCCACAGCGCTGTAAGGTCTAAGGAGAAACTGTTTTTTTTGTATAAAAGTTTGTTTTTGTAAATTTTATTAATTTCAATTTGCTTCATTAGCATGACATGTCAATACATGTCTTTCTGAAGCACATAGAGGAAAATATATATATAGTTTTTGATTTCTGATATAAAAAGATGAATTAAACATAAAAAAGCACATGTCAGTTCAGAACTTCTGTTTTAAGTAGCTGAGGACACTTTTCTGAGAAAAAAAAAAAAAAAGACTCACTTGTCCAATCATCTTCAAAGCAGTTGAGGAAATGGAAGATCACCATGACCAGAGAGTGGAGAGAGATGAGTGCAATGTACATCTAGGTTAAAAAAAAAAATACACAAAGAAGGGTTCACTGCATACACTGAGGTTTTTGGTCAGCCCACATCGTCAGCAACTCATTCTTACAGTGAACTTACTGTGAAAAGCACAAAGTACTTTTGGTTGTTCTCCCCAACACAGTTATTGACCCAGGGGCAGTGGTGGTCCATCTTTCGTATGCAGCGTTTGCAAACACTGTGAGAGAGTTAAGTTAAGTGTGAAGGAAACAGGAACGCATTAAAGTACGGTATCAACCATCCAAGGCGGCAACAACAACAATAACGGTGCACAAAGACAACATTAGCAGAAGCTTGAGGGCACCACAATCCACAGAAGAGCAAATTCTATTTCACAAATTAACCAAAGTCAGAATGTATGATAACAGTCTGACTTCCTCACTGCACCAGAACACTGCAGCTGTAAGCGTGGGATTGGGTTTGTGTATGCCAATGCAGCAGAGTGAATTCATGTCCTTTTTGCCCTACCTGCAGTGGTGTGCTCGGTCAGGCTTGATGCTGCAGCACTTGGGACATTTGTAGACCACCTGCCCTGGTTTCAGCTGAAGGCTTTCTATGTATTCCTTAGTAGCATTCCCTTTTGGTACGGCCCCCTACAATGAAACACGGCATAATTAGAATTTCAGCATAACGAAATAAGCAGGGAGAGGCTTAACTCCTTTAATTGGGACTATATAAAGCTTAAGACTCTAAACCTGTTTGCATGACACTGAGATTTAAAGACAGTTTGTCACCTAATTTTCAACATAGCACCAAACAAGCCCTACTTACAGGGTCAGTGCACATGGCCCTGAGGTGTGAGGCAAGGGCAAGGAAGGCCAGAGTGTTGAACAGGGTGCCGTTCACAATGCTGTACGTCAGATTCTTGGAGGGCAGCAGCATTACAAACAGCACCACGAACTCTGCGTAAAACACCAGCAGCCAGGTGATGACAGCGCACACGATGCCGCAGACGTCCCTGATGAACCACATGGCAGAGGCAGACGTGGAAGTGATGACATCTTTGGAGATAGGGATGCGCTGCTCTGCCTGTAGGCAGGTGGTTCCTGCCCCGGCCTGCCCACGCCCGTGCTCCACGTCCCTGCATCTGTGCACCGGGCTCTTCATCCTTCATCTAAGCTAGATGCCTGCTGCTGCCGCCGCCACCAGACCAGCTGTGCCTTCAGGCCACAGTCTCAGTCACCGCATGCTGGAGAAGGGGGGGGTCGCAGGTTAGAGGCAAGTCAAAGGTTCTGGTTCTCAGGAGAAGAGGAAAAGCATTTTGGAATAAACAGTCACTACACCTGCCAGAAAATGCAGGCTTTCTGGCAGTGAAGATGAGCAACCTCACCTGATTAATCTGGTGTTTATTTTTGCAATAAATTGATTAATCTTTAACATGTTTAGTCTATAACATGTCAGAAAATTGTGAATTCTGCAAACTGCTTATTTTGACTGATCAAAAGTTCAAAAAAAGATATTCCAGGGCAACAAACATAGAAGAGCAGTCACTGTTTGGCATTTTGTGCTCGGAAGATGACGTAAATGATTAATCAACAATTATTAAAATGATCGCTCTTTTAATTGACTAATTATTTTAGCCATCATCATCTAACTAAACTGATAAGGAAAAGATGATATAGATATATTGAATGATAAGAAGATATTTTCTAGGCCACGGTTTCTCTGGGATGGGAGCATGTTCCTAAGAAAGCAAGTATTGGCTTCATGGTTGCAACTATTTTCATTATCCATTAATCTATTAATTATTTGCTTGATTGGTATTATAAAATGTCAGTAAAAAACAAATCCCAGTTCTCCAGAGCCCAAACACCCAAAATATTCAGTTCACAACCACTGAAGACTGAAGGTTTGAAAAACTGGAAGCAGAGAACTTATTTTTTTCTCTTTAAAAAAAATAATCAAAACAATGAATCCATTATCAAAATACATTTTCTGTCAATCAACTTATTGTTGGCTCTATTTCGCCTGTCTACAAGAACATTCAGGAGTCTCTCACACTTGCTTTGGTAATGTGAGCATCTGTTTCCCATGCCCCTTTGAAGTGAAGTTATACAAATTGTATTAACCCTCATAGCAAGAAGCCTTAAGTGAAAGATTGTCAGCTGTTTTGGCCTGTCAAAGCTTTGATACTCTGGAGGGAGCATCACAGTCTGCAGTCTGTCTCAGTGCCACCCAACCTGGAGCTGTACCAGAGATCACTGAGTGAATGAAGAGGTCAGTGAAAGGTGGTCAACCATGACTTGTGTCTCACTTGAGACCATCTCCTCACATTAATTAAAATCTCATCTGACTAGTTGTGATATGCGATATGACATTATTGTTTAAGTGACGTTAAAAGAGTGGGCTTTAAATGATTTTCTAGCAAACAATCTATGTCATTGGTTTCCAGCTCACCCTGATCCAACGGGTTAAACAGTTTCTCTGCTAGGTAAACAAGCTAACTTAGCGGGGTTATCTGTATCCACATAGCGTACGGTAATAATTTAACGGCTGGTAATACCAAACAGAGTGAGTTACACCTCGCCTCAGACTGCTTTCTTGTTAGGTTAGACAGTTTACATACATATGCGATACTGAAACCCGACTTGAGTCTAACACACATGCTAGCTAACAACATCAGTCCATTTTAGCTTACGCGAGCTGCTTCGCTAACGTTTCAGAGTGAGCATTTACCAACCCGCATATTGCAGTCAGTAAACTTCCCGTCAGCTTTAAAGCGGTAGAAACCCGGGAACGTGTGTCTGTCTTCCCTTCAGAGAAAGTATCATCATATCCCGCTGAATCTTACCTGAAACACGAGCGTCCTTCGGTCGCTGCTGCTGCTGCTGCTTTGTTGCTCCCCTTCGATGCCCCGCCCCCTCACCAACAGCAAGACGTCATGACACCAAACGAGCCAATGGGAACACCGGAAACACACGTCAGAGGACACACCTATTTCCAGATCTATGATCGATCGTCCAGTTCTCTTAATTAAAGGTCACTCCAGGTGGGTTTATGGTATCATACCTGTTTTTTTGTATTCAGAAACATCATTTGTGTGGCACAAATTTTCTGGATGTATTAATTTCTGAGTTAATGCTCAATCACTGTGACTTTTTTTTAAGTTGAGTAATTCAAATGTCACAGAGCACTTTTACATTTAGCCATGTTACCATATTCCTTAACATAGGCTACTGTTACAACAACACAAATAGAAGCATCATTTCCTTTTGCCCTTTTTGACTTTTTGCGACCTGCCTTTCACCTCATACTTGTTACCTGTTAAAAAAGGAGTGACACCCTTTGAAAGACAATTGGAGCCCATGTAGATTTCCCCTGAAATAAAAGATGTTGTTCTGCTAGTTAAAATGTTTGGAAGAAAAAGTCCCAATATAAAGCAATTAAGACTTTTTAATTTTAATCTTGAACATGACCTCAAATTAATCATCCCAAAATGTCTCGTGTCGTGTCGGGCACAGACCTGGCACGTCGCACATATTTGTTGTTGATCTTTGTTGTTGTATATTTTTATGTTGTCAGTTTATATATTAATATGTACACAATATTCTCTTCCATTGTGTTACTTCTGCACGGCACAGACTCAGAATAATGCACACGTATATATCTGCAACGTTGTTCTTCTATTCCATATTTATATATTTCTACATTTATTTATGTTGACTGTATGTTTGTCTACATGTAGCACCTTTTCACCACAGCACATTCCTCATATGTGTAAAACACTACTTGGCAATAAAGCTCCTTCTGATTCTTCTGATTCTGATTCTGAACATTAAACATGTATGCAACATCAATTGCATCTGGATATATTTCAGCAAACTGAGAACAACTTTTAAAGGATACATTCACATTTTTTCAAGTCTGTCTTGAAACATTACTTACTTGCTCATGGAAACAGTTTTTTGTTACTGTGATTGTCATTTCTCCCCATGTGCTATGAAGAGGTCCCTTCCTAAAGTAATGAAGTAAGAGACGGGGGATGGAATCTACAGTCCTCGTTGTGTAGTTTAACCAAAGCCAATTCTGAAAGTCAAAGTCTGAGTTAGACAAATCAAGGCATCTTCTAGGGATGTCACTTTTTCACAAAAAACTAGTTAAAGCATTATCCACAAAACCTAATCATAAAAAAATGGTGTTCCCTCAAAGTCTTTTTAGTACAGAAGTCCTTCTTGTGTTACTTTGCCTCCCCTGCAGATCCGTAAGAAAAAACACTGCCTGTGAAAACACAAAAAGGTAAATAAAAAATAAAAAGCACTAATAAGACTGAAATTGTGGAACATACCCACTAACGGTCTTAAAGGTATGGATATTTTGTCATGTTAAGCATTGTTTTAAAAAACACCTGAATGCTTAAGACTTTAAACATTACTATAATGTAGCATTGCCTCTCCATACTTGGTATAAGATCAGTGTTTTTATTTTTATTATTCATTCGTAATTCATTTTTATTATTATTAATGGCTCTTCATGTTTCGTTTGATAACCTATTAACCTGTTTCATTCTTAATTTACTTCTATTCAGATTCATATTGTTCTGTTTAGACATATGCCAAGGATTTGTACTTCAACAGTAACAATTTGATTTTTTTTACATAAATTATGACCCTGTTTAATAAAGCATTAAAAAAAAGGAGTTAAAATATAAAGAGAGCTCCATTACTCCAGTCCTCCTAAACGTCATAGTCATCACTAGAGGGCAGTGCCATACAGACAACTCTTTCTGTATGACTCAAAGCTCTTGGCCTTTGGGCAAATATGCTGTACACCAACCTGTGTTGATTTACTATGGTTTTGCTGTGTGCTTTGAGATTGACAACCTATTCTTTGATTGAAATTTTCATATGAAGTGCAACACAGTGTTTTGCGAAATCATTTCTTGCCTACATGTGTTGGACACATGATTTTAATAGATCTCTTGCCATTTACACAGGGACAGGTCATTACACACTTTACACTCAACACTCAACATAGGAAATGGCTTGATCATGAAATCTACGTCCAACTTCACACCAAACATCCAGCAGGACCATGTATGTAATATGAGTTCTGTAAACATAAATTTGTCATGTAAATGTGAAACTTTGAAGGATAATATAGAGAGTGGAATCATGTGAAGTCTTCATTTGGATACTTACATCTGAGGAAAATAGAAAATCTCCTCCTCAGCTAAAAGAAACACAAACATTTTATAATACGTCATATGAAGAAAATGTAGCAGTGCAGTTAAATAAACATATCTGTCTATTTTTCACCCCTATCCACAGAGCAGAGTTTTCCACGTATGGCACATGAAATGTTAACCCAAGCTTGTGCGCATGTTCAGATTACTGACTGTATATTGTTGCTATTTTTACCATTCATTTTGTTAAAACACATACAGTGTGAATTAGCAATATATTTAACCCATTTATATATCTAATTTTAATGATCTCCTTCTCTTCTAACTTCAGCTGCATCGAGCTGGATTCAGCCTCAAGATGAGAACAACTTTGGTTGAACCAACAAAGGGCGTTCTGCCCGCAGGAAATGAGAAAGTTCAGTACCTCAAATCAAATTTCCCTTAAATTTCTACTGACCAGCCACCGAAAGCATCCTTTCATTTTCTTTCACAGTCTGGTTGTCTTCTGCCTATTTCCTCTGGTGCAAATAGTTTTACTTTGGGAAATGCCACTGACCCATTGAGAGCAGCATATTTGACTCGAAAAAGTGCTCTTACACTAATCAGTTTGTTATGAAGAAGCCTTAGGAAGGCCTTACAGAGTCTAATACTAAAATACTATACTGTTTCAGAGGCTTTTCCACCTAGATATTGACTACAGGAAAATTCACTTTAAAATATTGCACCAATCAAAAACCTAATGCTATGTTACTTCTTTAGCCTCAAGAACAAGTTGGTAAACACAACCGTATTAAAAAGGCAGTAAAATGCAGCACACTTGCGTACACAACAGGGTGTCCAAGGCACCACCGTTTCCATTGAAAAAACATTTTGCCAAGTTTTCGTACTGCTCCTAATGCCATTTGCAAGTATACACCTCACCCAAGTCAAAACAACCAATCAGAGTCAGGAGAGGTCTCTAATGCAGTGTCAATCCCTGCTCATGCACACAACGAGCAGCCCACCTCCTCGACCGTCCCCTCACTCAGTCAAGCTCCATATCTTCAGCGTGACAGTTTTGCAAACACAATGTCTGAGAAACCACCAGCAGCAATGAAACAGCTGCACATCCCTCCCTTGCCAACAACAGCATATAGAAACATGTGTGTGAACACTTCTCGACTCCACACTGAGATCTGGGCTCATTGTGTTCGATACCATGCCGCTTGCATCGATGAGTGACAAAGAGGCATGAAGAAAATAGTGGGGAATAAAACAGTGGCGTGCTATCCTCTCATCCTGCTGTTAGACGTTGTCACAGCTGCCTCTGAAGCCTGGAGCTGGAGCAGCCTGGCTCTGCCCTGTGCCGCGATGCATCGGAGGGGCGTCTGTGAGAAGATGAGTTTCAGCAAGAGGGGCCGAGATCTTGGCTTAGCGGGGGGGAAACCAGCAGCAGAGAAGCCACAGAAGGTTTTGCATTGTATGTTCAATTGTTACCGACTGCTGTTTTAATTTTATTATAGCACCTGTGCTTTTCCTACTGAGATGTTTGATATTAGAAAAGATCCACTGTGGATAAGGAAAAATTAATTGAGAACGCATTTAAACATTACTATTGAAACATGTAATGAGTAGTTTCTAGATATCTGTGAATCCACATACTTGACACTCTCTAAATAAGTCATTCCCACAGACAGTATGAAGCCGTAAAAGGTCCATTATTACCTTTCAGTATGATGCATCACTTTAGTTAGGGGCACAAAAACAGTATCTAATATTTAGGTAATTAGAAATGAAGGACTAGTTGCTTATTTATGCTGCTCAGCAGCTGTTTCAGTTGATCATGACGACTCATTAAAGGAGAAGTCTGGTGATAGTCTGTGTTTTTCATATTTTCAGCACTCTGAGCCACTCTGTTGCACTGGGTGACAAGTCCCTTCATTACCACGAACACACACACTGTAGTTTATTGCACCACTCTAACCAAACTAAATTCCTGTATCTCGTGGCACTTATTAATATTAAGGTGACTGCTTTTCTGGTTCTGTTACCTCTTGATGAGCGAGATATGTGAGTCATCTTTATTCTCTAAATGAAAATCAAAAGAGAAGAACTGAGGATATTTTTGTTGTATCAAGAAAACCTTTAAAACACCTTCACACAGCTCTGCCACTCAAAGCAGAATTATGACAATGGGCAATTTTATTTTTCTATCTGTGGTTTCTCACAAGGTCCACTCAGACAAGCAGGGGGCGAGATATTCATGTAGCCTACCCGTGTTTTTTTTTTTTTGCATTTCCCCGTGATAGTGTATCTGTAGACATATGTCAGAGGATAATGAGGGCTGTGTGAATTCCGGCCTCTAACGAATGAAGACATCCTGGTGGTGATTCACCAAAGCTCATACTCAACCACTTTCTGATCCTGTCTGCCTCACTGCCTGCCTTCCATCTCCTCCTCACGCATGCTTCCATTACCACTGTCACTGTCTGCTGCTATCTCTGCCTGTCTGCCTCCACCTGTTTGTTGTGTTTGTCCCTCACTACCTGTCTCACAGCCCTTCTATTAAAACTCCCAAACAAGGATAGACTCATGGTTTTCACTCACACCGCAATCTCTGGAAAATGCCTTTATCTTGGCGCATCAGCCCACTGGGGCCATTTTGCAGAAGGTCTGGCAGCCTTTATTAAATGGACCTGGGTAAGCTTGAGGATTGATCAATGATGCAAAATTAACTTTACAGAAAAAGAATATTCTTGCTAGTCTCCCTT